ACTTGAACCCTGGCTGTGGCTGTATGTTCGGCTCTGATAGGGAGAGGTGGATGATAAGGATTTAGTGAAAGTGAAAGCGATATCCAAGAAGTTGATGGAGCACTTGATGACATGTGATGTAAACTAACAAAGCTGATAATCTTATTTAAACTTATTAAGTTTGCTTTTCTCCAAAGTGGTGAAGTCAATACCATAATCAAATATAGGGCAGGCCTACCGTTCGTTTTGTACACACGAAGAGACAAAAGTAACTAGGTCCCATTTTAGTACCTACCTATATCGACTCCACAGTGTTTCTTTTTTTTTTCTAAAAAGTGGCCGTTAAAATAAAGGAATTAAAACTAAAAGAGAGTACAAACTCGGTAAGTCGGATAAGGGTGTTTGTACAAGTGGAGATTAAAACAGTTTCCCAACCTGGCTCTGTGGCAGCCTTGTGCAACAAACTATTCGGTACTTCTCGGTTATAGAAAAATTATAAATGTATTTGTAAAAGGGTAATAAGGGGAGAGACTGCAATCAGGTTAGCACAATGTAAAATGAGTAAAATAAAGTAGGGTTAAACTTGAAAAAAGGAACGCAACAAAACAAAGAGCGTGTCGGCAGGAAGCCTTCGTCGGCGAACACTGGCACACTTGATATTTTCTCCCAAAGAGCAGTTACAAATTTTGTCAAACCATCTTGTTATAAATGTGTTTGCTTTTTTGTTTTTTGTTGTCCAATTTTCACAGCGATACAGAAGACGTACCTTGACATTTGAGTTGAATATTTTTAACTTTGTTTTTGTCAGCATTATACTTGAGTTTCAGATGTTTTGCTGGGCATTGAATGCTCCTCTGGCTCTTTGGACCCTAGACTTTATGTCCTCTGTTACGTACCGCTATAATGTAGAGAACTTAATATCTTATTTTACTCTATGGCTCGTGTTAAACAGTAAATAACAAAGGACGATACCATTAATTAAATACAGTTTAAAAGAGCGATATCCAAACTAGGGCTAATTACAATAACATAATAATTTATTGAGTTCATTTAAAATTATAAAATCAAATAGAATACCTCATCTCTCCCCTCATTTTTATTTATTATGCTTCTCAGGTATGTAAAAGTTTCATTTCTTCAAAAGATTTTCCTCTCAAGTTAAACCCAATGACCCCATTATCCGCTGCATGAATTATTAAGGTCTTGGTTTTCTCTTTATTTATGTTAAGTCCAACTTGCTGGGATACAGAGTCAAGTTTTGTTGTTTTCTCCCGTATTTGTTTATGGCTATTTGATAAAAGTGCAATGTCATCTGCAAAGTTCAAATCCTCCAAATGCCTGAAAGGTGTCCATTTTTCCAATCCCTTGTTGTTACTCTCATGATCCAGTCAATGGATAACAGAGCGAGGACTCATGGTGAGAGCATCCCTGTCGAACTCCAGATTCTAGCATAAATGGGTTTGTGAGTTCACTTTCATGTAAAACAATGCAACTCATATCTTTGTATGTGTTCTTAATTAAGCTATATTAGCTTTTGAGGAATACCATAATGTCTTAGTATTTTCCCGAGTGTATCTCTTTCCAAACTATACAATTATTTTTCGAAGTCGGCAAAATTTATGCACAATGATGCATTTCTCTCCAATCACTGTTTCATGATTATGCGCATGGATGCAATTTGGTCAGTACACGATCTGTTTTATCTCAAACCAGCCTGTTCAGCTCTTAGTTTGGAATCTATCTATTTTTTTATTCTTTGCAGAATAAATCTATTTAGTATTTTTCCAGGTACAGAAATCAGCATGATATCTCTATAGTTTCCACACTCTTGTAGGTCTCCTTTCTTTGGAAGTTTGACCAAGTATCCCTCTCTCCACTCTCTTCTTGGTCCCATATAGTCACTATTAGTTGGGGTGCTCGATGACAGTTCCAGGTCCATCTTTAGTACTTCTGCAGGTGTTTCATCAGGGCCAGCAGCCTTTCCGTTTTTCAATAATTTGATCGCATTTTTAATTTCTATTTTGTTGGGTTCAATGCAGTCAGTCAGGAAATCTTCTTCTGCATGGAGAATTTCATGTTTCTTGTGGGGCTGTCCTGTAGAGTAGTTCTTTGAAATATTGTACCCATGTTTTCTTTTGCTCTTCTTTGCTGGTTAGCCTTTTCCCCAACTTGTCTTTGATTGGCCTGCTTTGTTGACGAAAATTTCCTGCCATCCTCTTTGTTGCAAGGTACATGTCCTTTACTTTACCACTTGGTGCAGCCTCTTTGGCAATGTCCTGAATAAATATCCTTTTATCTTTCCTGATATTCTTTTTAACATATATATTGGCATTTGTGTTGTTAACGAAAGCAGTCACTTTTGCTGATCTTCTTTTGCTCTCTAAATAAATGATCTTCATTCTTTTCCTCTTTTTGATTTTGTACATTTTTTCTTTTTGAGAACACTCTTTATGTTGATATTCTTTCTTCCTTACTACTGCTTCGCATCTGTTGGTCCTAATTCCTCTAAGATGTTGCCAGTGATCTTCTATGTCTCCATTTATGTTCTCGAAATGTTACAAAGCCTCACATCTGCTTGATAGAGTTATTCCAAACTATTTTTTTATGTTCTGGATCTTTTTAAGGAAATCATTGTTATAGCATTGTCTTTTCTTTTGGATGGTGTTTTGTCTTTTTAGTTTAGCATTACTTTCACATCACCAAGTTATTGTCAGATGAAAATTCTGCTCCTATTTAGGCTCTAACATCTTGCAGTGAATGTCTGAAATTTTTATTGATACATATGTGATAAATCTGGTTTTGGGTCTCTTGGTCTGGCGATATCCAGGCCACCTTATGGAGCTTCTTGTGTGGAAATATGCTTCCTCCTATTATCAGGCGATTATTTGCACAAAAGTCTTCAAATATCTCTCTACTTTCATTCATGTTTCCTAATCCGTGTCTTCCCATTACTTCTTTATAACCAGTATTATTGTTTCCAATTTTTGCATTGAATTCCTCCTTGATAATGTTAATATCCCTATCTCTCGCACTTGAAACAACATTCTGAAGTTTTTCATAGAACTTAACTTGTCTTTTATTGTCTCCGCTTTGTCATTTGTTGGTGCATAAATGTGGATGACGCAGGTCTTTCTTGGGAGTTCTAAAGACTGCTCGTCTTATCCTGGGTCCCCGAGGCTGCCATTCGATCAGAGCCTTCTTTGCTACGGGTGACAGTGTCAGAGCTACTCCTTCACTGAGTATGGCATCTTCTTTTTCGTGGTCAGAGTAATATAAAATGGTCTCTCCAGATGTTAGTTTATTACAGAGGTGTTCAACCTTTGGGTCGTGACCCCATTTGGGGGGTCGAAAGATTCTTTTACAGGTCTCGCCTAAGATCATCGGAAAACACATATACTCTACAGTTATGAAGTATCAACGAATATAATTTTGTGGTTGGGGGGGGGGGTCGCCACGACACAAGAAACTGTTTAAAGGGTCGCTGCATTAGGAGGGTTGAGAACCACTGGTTTAGTAGATCCATTTCCTGTCCATCTTGCCTCACTTATTCGTAAGGTGCCTACCCGATATATTATCTGTTCCATAGTTACTTGTTTTATCTTCCCCACATCCCACACCGTTCTAATATTCCAGGTGCCCATCCTGGAGCTTTTCCTCAGCATCAGACAGGAAGTCGGCAAGTCAGCTCCCTTTTGGGTTTGACTGAGCCACGTCATATTCACTTTATGAGGACCTTCCCTAAATGGGGGCGGCAAACGTTTGTTTGTTGTGGATTTTGTTCGTAGCGTTGGCTGAGTTTATTTCAATGAATGAGTTGCAAGCCTAATGCAAAGCATCATACAATGAGTAAATGAATGGGTTGTTAGCCCAATGCAAAGCGAGCTACAATAAGTCGCCTCCAACGACATGCTTGCTTGACTTGGCGGTGACTTATTCTACTCCAAAATTAGGTTCCGTTAGTTGCACGCAGGGAAAAGCGTGGTTTGTGTCCTTTAAATAAGTCAGCAAATAAACTTCCATGGACTGAAATACTCCCAACAGGAATTCAGAGATTTGTTCTATGAAGCAGGGGCAGGTTGAGGCGATGTGTTTTCCAGAGTAACCTAGCCTACACTGTGGGTTTTAATAAGAAAAAGAAAGGGCATTTTTGCGGGGATACTGTCGAACGTATGTTAAAGCAGGGCATATTTGTGTGGTTTCCATGACGATATCATTGTTTTGTAAGATGGAGTTATCAGTTCACCGTTTGACTTCCTGAATTGTGTCTTTTAAATACACATTTTCTTATTCAGACAACATCCCTCAAATTTATCTGAAGGTTTTATATTTAATAAAAAATGTCAGTCCATAATTTTAGTAACTTACAGATAATGCCGTAGTTGGGTAAGTGCCGCTCAGGGGGGTGTCATAGAAAAAAAAAATCAACAAAAAACTCAACAGTTGGCGGAAAATACCCCCCCCCCCTATAAAGAAAAAACTGCGACCCGGGGCGGTCTCGGTTCTCCGTCCCTTGCCTGCGCCATGCATAGAGAGTGCTCGTCACTCTTGTTTGAAAAGGTTGGCGTGGTGAAGTGGTGGCAGAAGGAGGATCTTAATGCAGTATCATCCGTGTCATGCTATACTAATAATATGTATATATATTAAACGCTAAGATGTGTTTAAAACATTTTTGGGAATCAATCAGAAATAAAATCAAGTCCTGAAATTTAAAATCGGCACACAGTAATATAGCAGTTTTAAATATTAGTCGATTAGATCTAGGCTTGTTAGGCCTACCAATATTTTTTATATAAAAGGCTAGGACCGAGTGAATCACTGCGAAGAAGCCAAACATATTATTATTACTATTATATGCACGAAGGTTTTCATACAATTTTAGTAGAATTTAAATTTTAATGTCACCAATTGATGTGGTCATAATCCAAGAGAGGCAATCAAACATTGTTTTCGTCGATTATTTAACCAGAGTTACTTTGCCATTCTTTGCCTATCAACCCATCCTTTAATGCATTCTGGGTAAAATACTTTACTGTTCCGCCATTTTGGTACTGTAAAGACAGTAAATTTACTAAATCTATTATACCTTATCACTTAACCTCATAAATTATAGACTTTTAGTAATGCACGGTTAACTTAGCTCATAGGTATATGTTTTAACAATGAGTGCAAAAGATGGTAAACGAGCGAAAGGGCGCAGAAACCTGTATTCTCATACAAAGAATACATTGTCAAATTCTGCCTCTGTTCAATCCCGTGTTGGTGCCTTCGGCCTTGGAATTACAACCCCAACACCGATTCCATTCAAACCTTTTGGGAGCAGTGTCACAATGAACGTTAATGATGTAGCCACAGAATTTGGTTTTACACTCAAGTCATCACATGAAGATGCAGTGGTAACTAAATTTCCCTTTCCTCAACAGTGTTAGACTATTAGACTAGTATTCTAAGTATTGTCTACAGTCTGAGTCATTTCTTATTTCTTTCTCACTTTGTCTATTCTTTTAATAAAGCTTTGGTCATTAGACTTGGCCTAAAGTCACTAAAGACCAAAGAACTTTAATTTTTAATTGAGGCATACTTAATTATACTTATTTAGAAACTTCTCTGCCTCAGTCTACAAGATAGAGTCGCAGTTCTGACTGTAGGCCTTCTTAGTCTTAGTAGTCAGTATGTAGTATGTCATTACTGAGACTGAGTGTCATTACTCCCATTATTAGACATTAGTTTTCACTATTACTAGATAGATGGGCTAAAACTAAAATCATCCAATTAGTGTTAGCTGCAGGGCCTGCGATGTCTTTCATGGTATAGGTCATGGTCAATGGAAGTTCCCGCCCCAGGTCAACTACCGGCCATATTTCCTTTTTTCAAAAGATTTCAAAATTTAGCTCGACCTGCTCGATAGTTTTTTTCTGTCTCCTTTTGTAATCTTAGTTTGGAAAAGGCGGCCGGGGGGGGGGGGGGGGTTTATTATTTTCTTTCAAATTTTTGTATTGAAATTAGGGGAGGAGTTGGGAAGGTAGACCAGAAATTATGTTGAAATGCCCGGTTAGATTGCAACATTATCGTAATGAAAAGCATACGCATACTTGGTTTTCAACCAGTTTTAAAAAAAGCACTTTTAACCATGTGCACTTTTTTTTCTGTTGTTCATCTTTGGTTATTAGCGAGGACGAGTTTCTCTTTTTATTTCTTTTGAATCTTGTAAGTTGAATTTGAATGAAAACCGAATGGAAAATTTCATTTTAATTTATTTCATTTTAGCTGTATGGATCATCAGATTATATGATTATGTTTTTGACACGAATAATGCCCAGTGAAGAACAAGAAAGTTATCATTCCCATCATTCAGGTCCAATTGTAGGTCCAGTTACCCTAAGTCCATGTTTTGGATTCCCCAAATTGACGTCAGTGTGCTTAGGGGGAGATAACTCTTGGCAAAGCCCATGCCTTTTACTGCATATTTTCCTGATGGATGATATTATATGCTTGGGCCAAGTTAAGCTTCGGCTGTACTATACATATGATTATGACCAAGACCATTGGTCGCAAATTTATAGTAAGCTTACTGTTGCATGCGAGATAAGGTGCCCCAGCAGCCGACCATTGGCTAATGGGAAAAAGGTAAAACATTTGAAGCTTTATAAAAAGCTATTTATTTGTATCATACATTGAAAACTTTGTTATTGGGATTTTCTTTTTAAGTTTAAAAGATGTCAATGTATGAGTTATTTAGAACTAGACAACTAGAACTTCAGTATTCAGGTTTATTAATTGCAATGTTGGCACTTTGGGATAAATAAGTGAGTTTTTGTGTCACAGTTTGGGAACTGCTAGACTTAACCTATCACCAGAACTTACCTACATTCTACATCTATAAATATTCTTCCTGTCCATCTAACAATCTTCAAATAAAAATGTTAAGAAAGGCCAGTCAGTAATCAAATGACAAACAAGTTTAAAAGCCTTTACTAAACCCTAAACTTATTATTCTTACAAAAAATGCAGATTTTTCATTTTATAAAATTAGAACTCTCAAGATGTCTTGTAAATTGTAGGCCTTACATATTTAGATTATCATATGATTATAAATTACTTGCATTAGCACTGATGTTTTGAGCATTAAATTGGCCTATATTAATTTGTTGGCTACTATGTTTTACTAAAATGTTTAACCTAAATTGCCTAAATAATTAAACTAGCAGCTAAGGCCTATGGCTGTACTCCAGCCAGTGTTAGTATAGGGCCTACTTTTATTCCTAATAACTTAATAAGCAAAGCCTACTAAAAAATTAATGCAAAGAAATAAGGCCTAAGTCTACATTAATTGGATTAGACCTAGTTTTAATATTATCATCATAATTAGTCCATTGAAGGTGCTGGGTGACAGATTGATCTAAACTGAGTCAATCCCAAGCTAGTTCAATCCCCAGCAAAAGCAAAAAGATCACCAGCACCCATGTGGATGGGTCTTGTTAACCTTGGATGGCAAATCACTTAGAGAAGGCAAACTCTGAAAGTAAACCTGTAGATGGAGTTCTGTAGGCAGTATGGAATTGACATGAATACAATTCTGTCAACTCCTGCGATTTAGAGCACATAAAGATCACAGTGAAACACACAAGACACACTGCTGGTCATCTACTGCATCCTGGTCTTGCCATTAGATAAAATAGGCAAGGACGAGAGGTTGAGGCTGACGAATTGACTCTCCTCACTTTACTTTAACCAAAATAAAGAATTACTTCCTTTTGCATTCCAGAGAATCACAGAACTGATGGATGCTCCAGTTGATATAGACTTACCAGCACATGCAATAAGTAGAGGTCCCAATCCATATTTGGACAGATGCATGTACTGCAACACACCTCGCACAACATCTCAGGATGGAGATGAAGGCTTGGAGCTTTTAGGTGGGCTTAAACTAATTGAATTAGTTTTTGCTTTTCCAACAGGAAATTAAATTCTATAGTTAATTTGCATAGTTCTTCCTCTGAACGACATTTATAGATGTTTCTATAGATTTTTATCTTTCATGGGGCACTATATTTATATATCAATACTAGCCAATATACCCGGTAATTAAAAAGTACATTTTCGGTTGTTAGTTTTAACTTGAATTTGCATTCTACGCCTGTCAGTGAATGGAGCTAGAAATATGATTGATTGGGGACCATCTATTTTTATATTAAGTTTGCCCTGAGCGGGGAATGGAGTGGTGTTGATTTAGGAGATTTTGTGAACGGTTGGAAGTGTCTAAATATTTTAGTCTGCAAAATTATCACCACCAAATTATTGTAATGATGGTGGTGATGGTCATATTGTTGCTTTGTATTTTCATAATGAACTCACTAGGCATGGCTACAGTAATATTAACATAGTAGCCAGAGTGACAATTTTAGTCAATCCGCGACAATCCATATAGTACCAAAACAAGGGGAGGAGGGGTGTGGATTCGAGATTTTGCTTATGCGCGCGTTTGGCCTGAAAGAGGGGCGGGGGTGGGGGGTCTCGACAAAAAGTATGTATGTTATTCATAAAGTCTATAATACTCATCCTGAAAGTAAAAAAGATAGCAAATTTATATCAGGAATGCTGTAAAAACATCATGCAGTGTTTTATAGGAAATTTTTTCATAATAAGCCATGTATTTTCAAAAATGAACTCGCTTAAACACTCACATAGTACTCAGTAGTAGAGGTATTACAGTAATATTTAGTCCACCGTATGTTGTGAGAGCATGTGACATATATTTTGTTGGGCTACATCAGTGCTTCTAAAACATTCGTTTCCTGGCGCCTAAACCAAATTTAGGTTTTCACCAGGCTCCCTATGTTAAATTATAACAAGTACACTTCGAAACAGCGAATATATTAACAAAATAAAATAAAATGTTTAGTAAAAGTAAATATAACACACATGTAAATCACTAAGTGCCATATAGTAACTGCAAACAGTAGTTACTCTAGTGGGTTACTGGGGGGAGAGGAGTAGACAAATTTGACTTCTGGTGTTTGTTTGCTTCAGTGCTGCATGACGTAATTTTGTGATATAATTATTTCTTATGGCTGAACCGCGGCGAGTCCAGAAACAGAAATTTAGAGAATGCATTCATTGTCAACTGTTCCGTGAAGCAAAATTAGATTTTTTTATATTTTAAGGATCTGAAAGGGTTGTTGAAATCTATTTTAGAACGCACAAAACAGTAGTATGATTTTTAATACCCCCCTTCCTTTCACCCATTTACAGCTTTAAATTGTTATCAGACTGTAATTTGTTAATGTGAAATAGGCATAATAGATATTTTCTTTTTATTTGAATTAAAAAGCTTTTCCTAAAAAATAAATCTCAAGTTAATTGACATTGTTAGGTTTTTTAAAATGACCCCCTAATTTGTACATATATATATACTGTATTTTATTTAAAACTAAGATTCTGCATTGCATGATTTTTAGACAATATTGTAAGATTTTAGGAGTTTGAGAGTAAACAGGTCTGTTATTCCATAACATTTGAGAAGACTCATTGAAATTAAATGAAACTTAATAAACATGAAAAAGGCGTTTATATCATCTTAAAAAGATTATAGCAAAACAGAAGCTTCTAGAATAATCTAGAAACTTCACAAAAATTAGAAATGAATGACTCGATGAGGCTGAGAAACTCTCCAGGAAGGTATAGAAATTAATACAACTAAACTAACATTTCAATAAGCTTTTATTTAAGTTCCCACTGTATATCCCTGTATATAGAATTTCTGAAAGATTCTAGATTAAATTATTTATAACCATCTCCAAATGTGTGAAAAATTACTTTTCTACAATTATTTGTTGAAAATGGAAAATTCTAAAACTTAATGCTATAAATATAAAATTTTTTCATTTAATTAAAAGAGCGGTCCATTCCATAAGGTACAGTTTTAGTTATGCATGAGATGGTTACCAGAAATTTGTTTGAAAGAAATTTCTTCGATGGAAAATTGATAGACGGAAGTTTGATGAAACAGAAATTTGATCAAATTTTTTTTTTTCAGTTCACACGATCAAATTTTCATCAAATTTCTTTTTGAACACACTATACTATATAGTAAAACAAAGTAATGCAGAACAAAGCCACAAACAAACAAATTTTCACTTTTATGGATATATGTGATATTATATTTAATATATCATTACTATAATCCAATATAGATTTGCAGCTGGATGGTAATACTGTGATAAGTAGCCCAGCTAATCCTCAGTCCTATAGCTCAGTAAGTTTGTCTAATTCATTGTTTCGATGTTAGTTTTTAAAATTTTTTTACTTTTAATGCTTTTCTTGTTTAAATTCATCATGTTAAATAAATTATAGGGTTTAAAATGGTTACCGAAATTTGATCAAAAGAAATTTCGTCGATGGAAAATTGATAGACTGAAATTTGATAGAACGGAAATTTGGTCGAATCTTTTTTTCACTTCACACGTTAAAATATAGTGCATTGTAAAAGATATTTGACGCAAAATTTTAACGTGTGAACTAAAAAAAATATTAAAAAATATTCAACTAAATTTCTGTTCGATCAAATTTCCATCGATCAAATTTCCGGATACGGTTTAAAATAGTCTAAAATAAAATAAAATGCATAGCTCGATAAATCCATAGATTTTCTAAATTTTGTTAAGATCTTAGAATTTAAAAAAAGTGAGTAAAATTTGGTAAATGTAAAAGTTCCATATGAATATATAATAAATAGCAATCCACAAAAAACTTACCATGGGTAACATAATATCATATTTAGATTATACTTTTTTGTCACCTTTTAGCTAAAGCTTGAGATTTGGACATGTGTCAACTGCCGTAAAGTTGCAGGGAATTTTCAGTCATTTTTGGTAATCAAATTAATATTTTTAAAAAATAGTATAATTTTCAATTTGTGTAGTTCCTAGTAGCATGCGTTATTGCTTGTTAAGTAGACCATGTGATATATTTGTATAAATAAATTTGGAAAAAAAGCAACAACTTTGCATATACTTTTGAAGCTTATGGTGGATGGTTTACTTTCTGGTCTTAATAAGCCAAATAATTATTTGTTCTGTCAAAAATATAAAACTTCATTAAAATAATCATTTAATGATTTTGCACATGATGATTGAGGGAGAATTCCAAATGCATTAAATGTCTAAATATTGTCACGATTAGTCACGATAATTGATAAAAACAATTACAGGAGGCGAATTTTCCTCAAGCTTCTTATGACTTGCCATTTTTACATGAACGGTGCATTGATCCATTAACGTGTGCAAGATGCGAAGAAGAAAGGTAGGTGAGCTGTGCTTTAATGAAAGCTTATACCATGTTTAAAATTAATGTATACATATAACTTTTAATAATTATTTATGAATTGACTTTAATGTATCATATTTTTTCTTAGAGAATGTCATGAAAGAGAAACACAAGAACTACAAGAAAACTGGGTTGAATTGCGATCAATAGTGAAAGATTTGTATAGTAGTCTGGAGGAACCAGTCCTCTCTGAACAACATGGTGAAAGACTTCAATTGCTAGTAGATAAGTAAGTAATTTTTAAAAAAAGGTTTAGATTATTTTGGGGACTTGTTAAAAAAAAATCAACATACCTTTTTTAATGTTCAATTAAGCTTGAAACTCTTTGCCTTATTTTAAAAGGCAAATATTCATTTTAATCTTCAGTGAAAAACAATAGCAACATCAATGTCATTAATACACATTAGAAAAAATATTGAAAGGTTTTTATATATTTCAAAGTCTGGTTTTGAATCATGGGATTACATTTTCAAAAGCAATTTTTCTATTTAAAAACAAAATTACATCCAGAAACTTAAAATCTTTCTCAAATATATTTGTAAAAAAAATGCATTATTTTATAATTTCAGGCTTTGTAGTCGAGATCCTCATCAATTATTTCTACGTCTTGAATCCCAAGTTCGAGAAATTGTAATGGACATGAAAGTTAGTTTGCTCATTAAACTGAAAGAAAATGGCTGTGATTCTCCCGAACTTGCGCTGGATTTTACCAGTTCACTCCTCTCCCACTATGAACTCCTCACCAAAAAATCACATCTACTTGCTCAGTATCTAAGTGGCTTGGTAATATATTATTTCAAAAAGATTATTTAAACTATCAATTATGAAAAGTTAAGAATTATAATTCACTCTGGTTTTTTGCTTAAAGGAAAAAATTTCGTGACTATAGCTGTAAATTTATTGCTTATTTTATAGCACTAGTTTATTTTTCTTTTGTTCTGTGGCTGGATTCTAGAAACTTTGTTCAGAGGAGCATAGGAAATTTATTGTAAAATTCTTTCTATTGTAATTGTTAATGATATTAATAATTTTAGTTTTTTCTTTGACATCATTTGGTACCTATATTTAATGACAATCAATATTAATAACTAGAAATGTTACTGTTCAGCAGATTCCTCTTTTATTTTATTGATCATCTTTATTATATGGTTTACGTTTCTTACAAGATGATAAAAGAAAATATTTAATGCCTGTATATAAAACAAAAATTGCATATCTTTTAGTTAGAATTCCAGGTCATCTTTTTCTTTTTGAATTTTAAAGAAAATATACTTTTTAAATTTGCAGAGTGAACATTTGCGGCGATTTGAGGTAACATGGGAGCTGTTAAACAAACACTTGTTTCATTCTATAGCACATAATGATCCTGCTATTAGCAATAGTGGACCAACAATTTTAGAACAGCTCAGGTAAATAATTGTAACTTTTCATGATTTCATGGTTATTATCAGTGGTCTTATATATCAACTACAGGTATATTTTAATAAATTTTTAAGGATATTTAAGGTGTTTTCATTAACAAACTATTTTAATGTTTTTAAGGAGAGTTAATTATCTTATTCACAGACAAGGTTCAGTACAATTTGAAAGAGCAAAAGATGACCCCTACTCCACTGTACGCAAGCGTCTTCTAAAATTTCAGGAAGAAATGTCTGTTGTGGTTGTAGTTTGGAGAGATTGCCAACAGCTTATAGAAAATTATTGTCAGGAAGAGGTGAAGGTAAGAATTGGTGGTAAAGAAAAAATAGTAACCATTCAGTTTTATTGTCAATTTTCAGATCAGGGTTTCTCAACCTTTTCTATTTATTCTGAACCAACTACAAATTATTTTGTTATGTCTCACACCCCAATGAATTGTTTGATTGGACTTCTAATTTTGTTATTTAATTACAAAGAGAAAGTAGAATTTAATAAATAAACTTGTGATTTAACTTATTACGTAAAGTAAAATTAAAATGAAGAAATAATAAAATATAAACATTTATATCAAAAATCAAAAGTCAATGTCCAAGCTATAACAAATATCTTTATTTTAAAAATAGAATACTCAAAAGCAGGTGTCCAGTAAAGCTCGCAGCTTTATATCACAACAAAGACAATTTCTAAAAGAGCATCTCATGAAGGAACCGCTTATGGACAAAGCCCTTTCCGAAACTATGAAAAATCTCATGTCTGGACACAAAACTTCAACAGAGAGAGTACTTTGTCATCAGTGTAAAAGAGAAAGGTTTGAATTTTTTAATTAAATCATTTGAAAATAAAAGAATAAAAATGTTTAATATATAAGAGTAGTTCAGTCATGTATCTGCAGTCCTAGCTGCCACTGTTTTCATGTAGCTTATCAAAGAAACTCAAATATAAGTTCAGGTTCTTGGCCTTTTGACTAACCACAGCCAACATAAAAAATAAAACTGAATTAAAAAAATTAGCACACAAATTTGGGTTTCAAATGGAAATAACATCTCTAAATTTGGCCTAATTAACCACTTCTTTCAAATCAGACTTATCTGAAAAAATAAATCTTTAACAGTAGAATAAGTTGCATTAGATTTTGAAAATTATAACTTAATGAGGATTAAAAAGATTTGAAAATTCTGAAAATGTCCCTCCCCATTGCACCCCTAATGGTTATAAAATATGGATATTACAATGAACAAAGTACCCATGTAATAATGTAGGAAAGAATTGAAGAAGGTATCAGCCTTATAGATATTAGGAAAAATAATGTCTTGCTTAAAGAAATTTTAACTTAATCTTATTTACAATCCTCTGATCCCAAAAATTTTCAGATGGCTTGATTTTTCTGTTTCAAGTTAATATCACAGGTTTTACAACGAAACACTTAATTCACTGTCTTACATTAAACTATGAAATAAATAAGTAAACAAAAGTTATTTAGATTCATTTATGATTATAACATCTATAAATTATTTATCTTAAGGTTTGTTTAATATTATTTTCTTTGCAGATGTACATGTGATGAGTGCACAATAACACACATGATAACTTGTGGCATAATCAACAGTGATAAAGGAGAGATTCCTCCTCCCAATTCCTTTAGCTTTGCCCTAGATCACACACGCAATATTATGGACATAACACCACCATCCATGTCTAGTACTACATCCAGCAGTGGTTCAGTTTCACCTATGAATTTAGAGGACAAGCTAACATCGTTCTATGACTGTGAAAGAGTCTTGCAGTAAGTGTATGTTGTTCTAGAAATGATTAAATTTGTGTTTTTGAAAGTTGCTTTAATTTCTAATATGTATTTTTTTTTTAAAAGTTAACAAATATTGTCATTTTTAATCTTCAGTGAAGAATTCAGAGATGAATTTAGTGATGCACTGCTTTCATGTAGTGATCGTGAAGGTAAAGCTTCAAGTTTGACTGAGGATACAACAGATGACATCGATGATAATGCTGGAGATGATGAAGAGGAAGATGATGATGATGATGATGTTGATGAAGATGAATTTACTGATAATCAGGATGCTGGCAGTGATGAACCACATGCTCTACAGGTAAATGTTGTATAAAAAGGTCTTTATCTATCACAGTTTATCACTACCTCATTGTACAAAAATCATACTAATATTTTTTAATTACATTATGATTAGAACAAAAAAATATACATTTTACAGTTATTAGAGAAATATTACAATAAATTATGTCCACTGCATAAATTGCACTCAAACAATTTAAAGTTTTTTTTAGCAAGTTGTACTGAGCACAAAATACAAATTTTTTTGAGATTGGTAACTACAGACCATTTGACATAACATTTTTATTAAATGAAAACTAAAGAGCATTTCCAACTCTGATTAAAAAAAAAACATCCCCTGCTTACATGTCGATTTGAAAGGCCGGTGTCAAAATGCCCATCCCTGTCCTAAATTGCCTTATTGATATTTAAGACCGAGCTTTTTACTTTATTTCTCATGAATATTTAAATGCTTCTATACATTTCTTATAATTATAATATTATATTTAAATGTGGAAAAAAAAGAATCGCTTTGGTTCTAGTATTCTAAACACAGAATTTGGTAAACATTGATTGGAGCATATTTAAAAATGGATTGGCCTGAATTACTAGGAACTAGAACTGTCAACAGAGGCCCAGGTACCCACCCAAGGCTAACTAACTGCTTGGGCAATTTAGGGTGCCCAATTAATTTTAAGAAAATATTTTTAAAATCATAAAACAATAAAATTTCTAATAGGCCTACATTTTTTTAAAAAAAGGTAAAAATTGAATGAAAGTAATAATTCTTACAGTTGCTATTTAGTGGGTCATACGGGGTCGTGACACACAAATTAATAATTCCTAAAGTTGCTATTAAATGTTTCATAAGGGGTCGTGACACACCTATCTCATCTAAAACTAGCAGACTTCTGGTGATAGCATGATTCTGCATGATTTCAAAAAAGGAAACCATGGTTTTTATCTTGTTTTGTTTAGTATGCTGCGTCTTTTATAAAGCAAGTTTTGAAATTGCACACGTCATGTGTTCATATTATAGTATAGGCTATAAATTCAAAAGAAAAACTCAACTAATGTAATTTAAAAATTTAAAGAGTACATTTTAAATTAACTACATTTCAAATGAGTGAACTTCAGAAGTGAGATTATTTGCAAAGCACGTGTGCAAAATAGTCCACTTGCCACAGCACTCCAATGAAATCCCACATTTCCTAAAAAACATGCCTGCTCTGTGGGTCGATGGGTACCTGGGCAGGTAATGAATTTACAATTTTGACAGCCCTACAAAACACATTTTTCTCATGCTCTGTGAAATTTAAAAAAAATCTGCATAATAAATTTTGTCATCTATCAAATAAAAGAATCTTCCTTACTTCAGATTCCAATTTGTGAACTTAAAGATGAAGAGGAGCTCTGGGAGGCTGTTACACGCCGTCATCATCAACAGCAACATCTCCAGCACCACCATCACGTTTGTGATAAGCGCTCTACCCAACATAGCTGTGCTCCTTGTCATCAACTCAAGCAAGATCAGCAGTGCCCGGTAATTTTCAGTATACTTATTAGATTTTAATTATCTTTTCTGAATATCATGTCTTGTGTTAGGATTAATGAAGAATTTTAGTTTTGTTAGTTTATATTCCATTAAGCTTAAGCAAATAAAGTAATTTTCACATACTAGTTTCAGCCAAGAATAGATCCTGAGCTCTCTAGGCAGCTAGATGCTGAACTCGCAAAATCTGGTCTATTACCTGGAGGAGCTGGAGATTATGGCAGAGATGCTATAACTGAGAATGGTGAAGCAACAGCTGATAGCCAGGGGAGTGGTGACAATGTTAATACAAATGTATGTGCAACATGTCAGTGTCATGCTTGTCTGAATCAGAGCGGTCATGTCATTTCAACATCACTGCCATTACAAGTGAGTTTTTATTAAATTTTTGTTGTTGTGCTATATTAGTAATAGGCAATTAAAATAGTTTTGGTAAAAGTAACAGAAAATGTATATGCTGGAATAATCTTACTATTGACCAGAAATTTTGACTAATAGAAGCCTAAAAATTCTGTTGAGTGATTATTGTTGGTTGTGATTTTCAGGCATTACTTTTAAAAATAAAATTAAAAGAAGAATAAACCAAAGAAAGATTGAGGTTTTTGGTTTAGTAATAAACAAATAATAGAGTTATTCTTTGATCAAAATAAGTTTATTAATTTTTTAAATTTTCGCTGCATTGTTTGTGGAAGTTAAAATGTAAAAAAAAAAATAAAAAAATTATAGTCTTTCTTTGTGTAATTCATTTTAAGAAGTTTTAAATTATTTTATACTTTTTAGTGCATTTAAACTCATCTTTGATTAGCAAGTCCTTTATGAAAAGTTTTAAAAATTATATTATGAAAGTTGATAATGACCTTGACCTTTACCCGAGTAAAATAGTGCTACTCAACCTATGCAGTCAACCCACCCCAATCTCTCTATTTGTTCTATCTATTATTACATCTGGTTTTTTATATTAAAAGAAATATCCTTTCAGAAAATGTCAGGTTATAGTAGGTACTTATAAAAATGTCCAAAATGAGTTTAAAAAATTCCTTTTCATTGAAGTTATTTAATCCATTTTTTAAATTAATTAATGCACCTGACCATAGACAATTATCTTTGAATCTCTTTAGAGTAGGTCTTATGGATCCAATCTTTGTCTTTTCTATTTATTTTCCAAACAAAATTGTAACTGTACGACTAAGCTTTGGGCTAAAAATTTTCAATATGTAACTCCAAGGTCACTATCATGGCTGGTGCATATACTGTTATTACTTTCAAGTGGATTATCATTGTTTTCATTTAAATCCATTTGCAATAAAGAAAGTCTGTGTTGATTTTACAATCTAAAGGAATCCTAGCCGCGAACACAATGTCAGCAAAAAATCACCCTTTTTAATGATAATTCTGTTGGATGCCTATTATATTGGCTGTAATAATCAGGGGTGACCACAGAGAATGCCATAACGGCCGATTATTGGCCGTTATGACAGCTATATGTTAAAAAGCTTGTCCTTAACAATCGTAAAAATAATGTTTTATAAATTGTTTGCACCAGATGCCAGTGTCCCCATCTCCATCAGAGTTGCACCTGTATCCACATATTCATGGGCTTCCCCAACACAACCCGCAGCAATATATGTCAGATTTGTCCTCACATCTATCCTCTATAAAACTTCCTGTCAAGCTAGACTTCAATGACACAAGTAGCAGCATTCTTTACCATGCTTACAGGTACCAAATATGGCCTAAATATTTGTAAAAGTTTTTAAGCTTTACTTACATATATTTTATTATTTTATTCTTTATATATAAATTCAAGGCTGTCTTTTTATAAAATATACTGGTAATTTTTTATATAGATTACATAAGTGGTCACTAATATTATTATATGAGCTATATTCTACTTACAGTTGTTTTACATTTTTCCACAGTGATTGGGACAACACTCTCGCCCGTCCTGGATCACTTGCAGCTCAGCATCACCAACAACACCATCGTCTTTCTGCACTCTCCACAGATCTCCCTCCACCACCACCTCTGGTCACCTCTGCTTCTTCTTTTACATTTGATTATGCGTCTCACTTAGCTACACACACAACAAACACCTCTACCACAAATACCACCAGTGCATTCAAATCAGTGGCTGGAAAACATTTTGCATCTTCAATCCTTCCCACTCTTAATAATTTAGAAAGTACAGCTTCAGAAGGTAGTTCAGTTGATCCTTCTAAACCTCTAGATTTTGCATCATTGGCTAAAATTCCTCAGTCTTGTTTAAATTCTGCTAATTCCCTTTCACCCTCTGCATTTTCTCTTTCTTCATCTTTTTCATGCCCATCATCATCTCTAAACCTGTCACCATCTATTCCTGGTGTGCCGGTGACTGCCAAGACAATAGGACCATGCCATGGTCCTCCACATTGCTCCAGACCACCTACTTTGGGTGGAAATCCATCCAGTAAATGGGAGAGAAGCCCTCTTCCATCTTGCAAAAAATTATCTGCTGGGTCAGGTGTCTTTAATAAACAGATGGCAAGTGGCCCTGCCTATAATTTAGGTGTTGTGCCTTTTACAGGCGGCCTCCAGGCACCACCAGCAATGCCCACATCACAAGCAGCTCCAAAGAATCCCTTTTCTGGTCATCACCACAAAGATGAGGTTCTTCGGTCATTGCGTTCTTGCTCCCACACCACCAATTCAACCCCTCGACCAGGAGGATTATCACCTCATGTAACCACTGGTGCCCCTTCCATTATCACCAACACCACGTCCACTACACCAACAACAAATGGGCAAAGTGTAACTCTGTCATGCAATAACAGCTTGTCTAGTATCGTTAACAACATTGGAGTGGGCACCATTTCCACACCATGTAATGACCCAGATTGTGAGGCTAATCATCATGATGATAATTGTGACAGTGTTGATGATAGTTATTCAGACAAGAGTTCTAGCACCTCGACTTCTAATCAAAAGGAAGGAAAATACTGCGATTGTTGCTACTGTGAATTTTTCGGACATAATAATGTAAGTTTATTCCAAAATTATTATCAGCATTAATGGTACATTATAATGAGTGTATCAAATCTAAATCTATACAAATTTCTTTTAAAAATTCAAATCCATATTTGGAATCACAAATGGATATTAATTAATTATTTGATATGTTGGTTCTTAGTACTTAAGTAAAATTTGGTCTCCATTATTTAAATTTGTGCACAAATATTTTAATTTTATTTACATTTACAGACTCAAGTTGCCAAAACAAGTACTAACTATATAGAAATGAAAGATAGGCTCAGGAAAAAATTAAAAAAGAGGGTAAGTTATACATTTTCCTTTTCTGTTATTCCGCAAAACTGCTGTTTTCATTTTTCTTCTTCATTTAAATCGGTGGTTCTCAACTTGTGGATTGACACTCTCCTCAAGGGTCGCTTGACAATATGCCAGAGGTTGCATGAAAACTTAAGAAATGAAGATTTTTGGGTAAAAATGTGCATCTTATTTTTACCATCTTTCATTTTAAAATTTAAATATTGTTTACAGTTATCGGGTAGGATTTTAAAGCTGCAGAAGTAGACTTGTAGCAGAAGATGATCTGCCTTGTGCTCTTGTGAAAAAAACACCAAAAAACTTCTAACTTGACACTTTTAGGTTGTTCACTATGAAAATTTACATTTTTAGACTACTTCAGTTTTGAGGTTTATAAAGCCTAAACTTTAAAGTTGGTAGCTTAACTGAAATTGTTACTTTTAATTATACTTGGATACATTTAAATTTTCAAAGGATCCCTCAGCTCCTCTGGGCCACCTTGACTCTTAAACATCCTCATTAACAAAGGAATCACCCATCCAATTTTAAGAAAAACTTTTATGTTCAAATGTATGGTTGTACCTTCCTAGAGTTCAGTGTCAAAGAGTCAATACTATATTTTTGGGAGTATCATCAACCCCATCCCCTCCACACTACTTATTCATGTCAATGCAAATCTCAAGGCCATTTTTAGCACTCTATAAGATTAGCCTTCCCTCTTCAAACATGCATATTGATGGATTGATGCCATTTTGCAGCCATCAATTTGCTGACATTGATGAAGAACTAATTTAAATATAAAAGTGATAATTAAAATACACAGATGATTATAAAAAAATGATGAAGTTTTAAAAAATCTGTATAAAAACATCAAAGTTTTGTATGCTGGCTGTTATTTCCACAAATGCGCCTTCTTGGATATATGGAAATAGATTAAACATGTTGTTTTTTTAAATTGATACTTTTAGCACTTTAAAACAGATGCCGGACCAAAGACTTAGACTGGAGGGGTTTTTAGCTGAAATTTGTAAGGATAATAATTTCAAACAAAAAACACATGTTTTTATGTTTATTACAGCCAAAATTTTAATTGAAATATTCAATAAATACTGTTCTTTTTAAATGAATTACCTAAGCGCAGCTTACAATGCATGCTGAACTGACCTCACTCGTTTCACCCAACTCTGAAATACACGGGGTGGGCCACATAGATGGGTATACATTTGCAATATTTTGTACTACCATTGATGTGAAGTGGCAATAATAAATCATAAATGCACCACACTTCCGATTTCACAGATAAGTACCGTTTTTATGTGGGCCACCTTGCATAAGAGAGATGTTTATATACCGGTAAATCTATATATATATATATATATATATGTATATATATATATATATATATGTTGTATTAATTTTAATCACCTTTGAATTATATTATCACTTTTGAGTTTCAATAATTCTTATATCTTTGTTAACGAAATGCCCTGGCAGCAAAATGATAGCATTGAATCATCCCATTCCCTTTTTGATAAGACTTATGAGACAAAGAGACATACCACCTTACACCACTGTGTCTCATAATAATCATCATTTTAGTCCTCTGGGTTCCTTGTGGAGCATAGGGCCACTGTCAAAGCATGCTTCTTTTCAAGGTCTCTTGCCAGTAGTTGAGTTCTTCCTAGCTCTTTCCTGTTCCCTTGCCTCATCCTGCACACTGCTGATTTTGATAAAAGTTTATGTGAATAAGTTTTTGTGTATATAAGTATAAAAAGCCTTACAAGTGGGTGGTTTTTAGGCATAAAAAAAGTAGACATTAACTTAATATTAAATGATGTTTAAAGGATATATATTTTGTTAAATTGTTGTTTGATAGTGATAGTTTTGAAGCACTTAATGCAATTGCAATATTAACCATTTTTTTGTTTCTCTTTATTTCCATTGACATTTTCTGTGTAGCAGAGTGAGAGCAAACACAAACAAATTGGCCCAAAAAATGGACTTGTGCAAGAGGGCAGTAGAGAAGATTTAAAAGACCCTTTAGAAAAAAAAGGCCTTGAAGGTCTTCTCAGTTTTATAAATGGAACGGATGATAATCAGAGTAAAGCTAAGGAAAAGGAGCTCACAGCCAAAGCTGCAAAAAGGGCGCGTCAAAAGCAGAAAAAGGTAACTAATAATACAAGTAAGATCTCAACCTAAGTAAAATGATAGATTCAAAATATAATTTGAATTACTATTGTTTCAAATTTTGGTTTATCTACGCTTTTTCAAAGAAATAATTTTATGGAATAAGGAGCAAAAACCTCACCATTGAATGGTGTGTATTTTTTAGGCCTCTGCACTAAAAAAGATAAAAGAAATCAAGTTTAAAAATGAGTAATAACCATTTTATAAAAATATTAAATGCTGATCCTGATTTTATTTTTAGTAGCCTTAGACCAAAATATGATAACCTTAAAGAAAAATTAATTTTAGAATACTTTACATTTATAAAACTTGAACACTGAATTTTAGCCCATATAACTGCATTTAACACCTTACTATGTATGTTACATATCTTTTTACCCTTTAAAATTTTTTATTTGGTTTGAGTGGGGTTTGTTTGTACTGGTTGGATTCTTTGAGCCGACATATCTCTAGGTTCTTGACAGTTCTCGACATTCTAGAAAGCTTAGTAACGCAGTACATTTTGATATTTTGTCTTCCTATTTTGTTCTCTTCTCTAAATTTCTTGGTCAATAAAATTTTAAGAACTCACTTTGTAAAATATGTACAATAGAATAGGATGGCAATCTAAGGATTGAAGATTTACACCGAGTTACATGATTGTAGAGTTTATTTGCAATTAAATAAATCTCTTTAAATCTTTTCATTTAATATAAAGGGGAAAATTTAACAAATATTTTTACATTTCCTTGTTTTTGACTTGGGAAGAATTAAAATGAATTAGTGATTCTGTTTTTTTTTTCAAAATGTATTTTTGTTTTCTGCATAATTTATATGTATATATATTTGAAAATACTTAAATCTTTTTCATGTCCAACTTAAAACCTTAAAGGTTAATTAAATTTTGAAGTGTGAAGAATCATATGCTTTTTCCACCATTAATTCTAAAAATGTATAGTATAAAGTAAATAGAGTAAATTAAAAAAAGAAAATAGTTTTAATGTTACAATTTTTTTAAAATGCTTGGTAATGGTAACAATTGTGCAGAAAACCCAAACAAATCATTTTTAACTACAGCATGTGCTGGTAAAAATTACAATTTAATTTCTTTGTGTAAAGTGGGTGGGGAAAGGAATATAAACAAAGGTGAAGGTCTCTCCTTAGTGGTTTTTTGAGGTGAACTGTTTATTTTAGGAGGTGTGAAGACTTGTTTTTTTTTTTTCAAAATGAAAATAGCTCACTTAGTTAACATAAGTAGGTCAGCATTGAATTTAGTGATTAGTTAATAATAAATATTTTTCAAACTTAAATTTGATTCTTTCAGTTAAAAATGTTTTCAATCATTCTAGTGGAGCAAAGAATGTTTTGACATTGTTACTAGCTTAAGACCCACTGTGCAATAAAATATTTTAGACTTTAATAAAAAAAAAAAATAGTCATGTCTGTATTTCATTAAAGAATTAAAGTTATCTGATTCTGGGATACTTATATTTGTAATAAGGTGGAATGCATTATAAATGGTAAGTACACTTAAAAGAAAAATCATATTTGTAAATTTACCATTAATTAGGTAAAGTTTAATTTCTTTGGTGGCCACTGTTCCCAAAAATCTTAATTAAGTTTGTTCATATTTCTTGCTTGAAATTATTATTCAAGTCAACCACCTTTTTATGGTTAAAATTACATTAAAAAAACGCTCCTAAATAAGTAATATTCCTTTATCCCTAATTGTTATTGTCACCATTTTGAAATTAAACATTGCATTTACAGTCACAACACATGTTGGTCTGCGTGTACATTTTAGTACTAGGAATGCTTAAGCCTAATATTTATCATTTCATAGCATTATATTTGAAATATTACAGTTGGAGGAAAAGGCTAGACAAGAAAAGAGCAATGCACCCAGTGTTAAGAACCATCAACTAGAACCAGAAAAAACTCTTCGGCAACTTTTGCTTAATCAAACTTTAACCTTAACCAAACAGTCTTCTGCATTTGATCAGTTAAACATGTCAAAATCTAAGTCAAAACGGGCTCAGTTTGTGGCAGGGAAAAAAGATGCCCCCATAGTTGTTTCTGTTGATAAAGTAGAATCACCTGTTTCTGTAACATCCTCTTTGAAGCAAGAAATAAATAGATCTTCTTTGATAATTGAGTCCACACGGTCTACTATAAATCCAACCTCAAAAAATCTTGCATCTGTGCAGCAGAGGTGTTCCAGTAATAGTAAGGATACACCCCAGCATATCCTTGGTGTAATTAATTCAGTTAAACAGCAGCAGCAAAACAAATCTAAATCGATTTCTTTGGAGACAAATCCTTCCAGCACATTATCTTTGCAAGTCAAAAGCAATGGAACAGCCATTATGCCTCCTCTAAAGGTTACTTCAGAATTCGTTAAAGCTAATGGCCAAACTAAACAACAAGAAAATCAGCCAATTCAACGTGCTAATCAACATAAGCAAGCCAAGGCTTTAAATGGCAAAATGACAACTCCCTCGCAGCCTACTGGGAATCATGTGGTAAATGGACGTAGTACTTCTAATGATAAAAAGGGACAATCCCAGCAAATGCAAATAAATGGAACATCACTTAAGAGTCAGTCATCAACACCTGTTTTAGCAATGCCTTTAACAGGTACGACTGGTCTGCCCACTGTTTCAAAAAATGTAGTCGGGAGTCCAAGTGCTGGCAGTGAGAGTTCAACATCCCAATCACCATCTTGTGGGACAAAAGTTTCAGTTGATCAGGTATGGTGGAGCCCCTATTAAATTTTTCTTTAAAACACTTGAAAAAAAGATTCAGATGGATTATATTTTCTGTATTTTTTTAAATCAACTGTTACTGAGTTTGAACTTATAATTTGGAAAATAATCATCCTTATGTACCAGTATGTACATTGCCATCTGCCTTTTTGTTTTGATGAATAATGGGCTAGTTCACTTTTTGATATTGGAAAATATGTAAAATACTCCCATGTTTTATCAAATGTATACCAAGAGTGAATTTTTTAGTTGTGGAATTGATAGGGCTATTTTAGGTTTGATTAACATTGTATTTCCATTTCCTTTTTTCTGCATTCAAAAAGGGAAAAGCTAATGGAAGAACAAAGAAGAGCAAAAAGAAGAACAAAAATGGAGATATGAATGGAGTTGGTAAGTAGAAAGAATTAATTTTCTAATAATGTTTAAACAATAATCGTATTGAACAACATGCTAATCACATTTTCTCAGCTTTAAAAAAACCAAAAAAAAACATACATTTTATCATAAGGGTATACCTAATTAGAATGTTATCCAATACTCCCTGTGGCTGTCTTAAAATGCTGCACAATTTGGCTGATTTCAAAAACTGGTGGTGACTGGAATACTTCTTTTTTGGAGGTGGGGTGGGGAGCAATCATTTCCAAAATCAGATAATTTTTTAAATTTTACTAATTTTTAAAAGTTTACTACACAATGAAAACTGCTTATAATCATATCTGAAATTATGTTTTTGAAGTTATGTGCTCTATCAATATTAACACAGTATGTGTAATGATAGATCTCATTACTGTATTAATATTACAATAAAATTTCAATAATTTTACAAAATGAAAAGTTCAACTGGTATCTACTTGTGATTGATCCCATGAGTTTTGGAACTAGGATAAAAATTTGATTTTCAGTTCAAAATTTAATTGAAATTTCAGCTGCTACATACCATCTTAATATGTCTGGTCTTCCCAACTTTGGGAATGCATAATAAAAAACCCCAATCATTTAAAATCAAGTATGCCAAAAAATAAAATCATTAATATGCCCAAAAACACCAAAAAATATTGTCTCTAATTGCGAACATATAAATATATGTTCCATTTCTCCTTAATTTTAAAATGTAATGTGTTATAGTATGAATGTGTCAGCAAGATGCCTTGATCAATAAAAAAAGTAGTACAGAGAATGAAATATAGAGTTTAATTTTTTCATTCTCTATTTGTACTAATTTATTAGGTGATGGAGACTTCCAACTAACACATCTTTAATATTTTCATCCTCTATTTGTACTATGTTTGCTGATGGAGACTTCCAACAGACAAATTCATTAATTTGTTTAGTCTGTATTAAAGTTTTCCCCATCCTGTGTTTTATTTTTCCTCAAAGGGTTATAAAGAATCTCATGCTGTATCTTACATTGCCTGGAATAATTAACTATATAATTAGATTGAAAAAACAAGATTTTTATTAGATTTCTGTAACTCAGCTTTTGTGTTGAATTAGTCTAATTAGTTTAAAAGTTTGTCTGAATCTCCAGCTCTAGTTTAATAGATTATGTAATTTTAGTAGTCAAGATTAAAATAATTATTTCAAAATACAATTAGTTTAAAACTCTTGCATTTGCCAACAGATGAGATTTTCATGCCTAAATCTGAATCTGAGTTAGACGGTGATGTTGATGAGTTTGAACGTGAATTGGAGGAATTTAAAAGGTTAATGTACACACATAAATTTTATATATAATATATATATCAAATATACATATTTATACTTTCACCTGTTAAAAAAATCAAGTGAGAATTTTGTTATGATTAAGACATTTACAAATTTATTTTACTTAAAACTTGTTTGAATTTACAAATTTTTTCTGTGTGTGATCTTCAGATTTTGTTTTGAACCAGCAGAACCAAAGGAGAGGAGAAAGATTGCTGTTAATGTCAATCTAAAGGACATTTTCAAGAAAAAGACTGGCTTGGTGTGAAAATAGTTATAAAGCTGTTAACTCTCTTGTTTACTAAATACATTTATTTTGGTGTAATAATTTTGAACATGGAGCACAAAATATGCATAGATGATGGTAAATAATAAATACTTTTATGTGTGAAAATGTTGGTATCATTTTAAATTGGAGCATATTGGAAGTCATACAGTTTAGTCTGTTGCTTTTAAGAATCTCAAGGACTTAAAAATATGGATTGACTTATTCTTTTGCTCTCCCCCAGTTCTAAAATATTTCTTAGCTTAAGTTTATTAAGTTAGAAATATACTTAATCTCTATTTTTATTGATAGTTGTTTATGAAGTAATATGAAAAAGACATTTAAGATAGGAAGATAAATAAAGATCATACGCCTTTTTTGTTACAGTCAAATGAATAACAATTTTCGGCACTGTCATATTAGTATTTTTATTATATTTTTTAGTTATTTTATTCAGCTCATTTTATTCAATTATATTCTTCTACAAATCCTAACTTAGTGCAAACCTTTACATTTTAAAATTATGGTGATGAAACTAACCCTAAATATTTTTTGCCAATTTGTAGCTTATTTTTAGTGTTGTTATAGAATATTATGTAACTAAGTTATTCTCAAAATAGTAGGCTTTAGACAAAATTATTAACATTTTGGATGAGAATTAACTTGATTTCTTTCAGGAACTAACTTATAGGTAAGGAATTACCTGAGCACTTTCCCAAACCATGTCCAAACAGTATTTTAAAATTTAGTGAACAAATGTGTGATGCCTAACTTCTAACTTACTATTTATAATAAGTAAGTTTGCTTGAGTTTGCTACATTATCTTACAGACCATGTATGTGTACCACAAACTTATTAATTTTGATGGTTATTCTTCAATTTTTGGTAGCTGGTAATGTACTGTGCACCAAATAAAATTTGTACAGATTTTTCACCAGTCATGGATTGTTATATAAATTTATGTACATTGGCATGCTTTCTCCTTGTTCAGATTAATTTAACCTCCAAAGAATAATTCTTCTCCCCAAGAAGCTTTACTCATTGATTGAAACGCCTTGCTATGTGTGTGTTTGTGCAGGTTGATGAGCAGGCTTGTGTATTTTTATGCTGAGACACCTTGGCTATTAATGACCATGACTTGCTTCTCATGATTGATTTATACTTTAATTTACACCCTGTCACTGTTCTCATTACAAAAGTTTTTGGTGGGCTTTGTGTTCAGTTGTAAGGGTGGCGACATCAGGTGTCATTCATGCATTAACTATGAATTATCAATACATAATGTACTTTTTCATTCAAAAAATGTGTTCTGTAATATTTAAAAAAATGTAGTTTTTTTCTACTTCTACTAGTACCAGTCACATTGTCTGACAAATAATTTAGATCTTTGTAAGGGGAAAACAAAAATTGTACACAAGCACTTAAGTTTATTGAAACATTTTATACAAGTCAATAATTTGAGGCACAGAACTGTTACGACCTGAAAAGGCAATAGATATCTTGCGGTTTGTGCTGTTCAACAATAGGCTTTGAATCGATACTCAATGTCCTTCCTTTTTTCCAGCAGTTCATTGTGCATTTGTTCAGCCTGATAGAGAAAACAATAAGCCATCTTTAATAGTGCTATAAGAAAATAATTAATGCTTGATATATTTTGAAAACGGCAGTGAAATGTCTGGGGTAGGTATATTACAGTTGATTATTTAAAATTATGGTACTGGTACCAAAGACATATTTTTTACTGCCATTTATTTGCAAATGAATTTACCAGCCAAAAAAAAAAAAAGCATCCTTAAAAATACAAAACTGTTCACAAGCAATTTTCAAGATGAAAAAAAGTTCCAGCAATGACTAGAAAGCAGCTTGCAGTTTCTCCTCAAAAACTATGCACTTTAGAGTTTTTGTGTTGCCTCCTTTGTACTGGTATTTAAAATTTAAACCAATGTTAATTTTTAATTGGTTCTTAAGGGGCTCCAGAAAAATAGTTATCTAACTTAAAATTTTAAAATGAATTAGAATTTCCATCAATATTAGCAGACTTTTGATAAGCTTTTTTGGCAATACTTTTTAATGTTAGCTTCTTGGCTGAAAGTGCAATAAGTTGTTTTGCCATTAAAGATCTTTAAATTCTAGGAAAACCAATATAGCAGTAGCATGTCTAAGTAAATCTGCATAGGAACATATTTAAAGTTCTAAGCTGAAAGATTTTTGTGGCATTCAAAAAAATATTAAAAAATTGTAATTTGAATAAAGTTATCTAAACTCTACAGCAGGCCTGCACAACTCAAAATATAAGGCGGGTCAAAATGCTTTATGAAAAACTTGTGCGGGCCAAAAGAAAATAGGATGGGGGCAAAGCTATTAAGAAAATAATAAGATTAAAGAATATTTCGTAACTTCCCGAAAAAAGAGGGTGCTGGCGGGCCGCCTGCAGGCTGTATGTTGTTCAGGCCTGCTCTACAGAGTGAAACTTTGGATCATATTTCTAATACACAAAAGCCAAGTCTGGCAAATAATCAGAAACTTTATGACAAGAAAACTCATTGTAAATTGACAAATCATCATGAGGAAGGGAAATATCTTTCCTAAAGCAAGGGTGGGGAAACCTTTAACCTTGGAAAACCATTTCCTGGAGCTTCCATTAGGGGTGTAGCTTGAGTTTTGATTTTACAAAACATGGGAAAGGTACAGAAGAAAATCATTATGGCGTATGGCCAGTGACCAGTGGTGGGCAGTGTAGGATGTAGGGTCTCGAAAGGGTAAGAAAAGGAGAGGTTGGGATAAGGGAGGAGAGGGTTGTTTCAGTTTTAATTAAAAAGGTAGGGATGATATGGAAAATCTTGAGGATACAAAAGGTTGAGAGGGCTGTTGAGAATGAAATCATTCTGTAAGGGTATACATCAAGTTATATTTTGGGAGGGGCTGATAAGATTTGCACTTGTTAATAGGGAGAATGTTAGGGGTAGGTGAAGTAAGGTAAGAGGGAATCACTCTTGTGGGGAGGAGAGAATGAAGTGGAAAACCATGTTTTATCATTCAAATGTGGGAGGGGGGGTGGGGGAGTAGTTTATAATATTTTAAAAAACCATGGTAGTTTTGTAATCTTCATACGTGTACATGCTTTGTTTTGGCACAGGCATAGTATCTCACAAAACTGCGAAATTTATACAAAATTTGTCAATTCATAGTTTTGCTGCATAAGAAAAAATCTTGCAATGATAAACTTGACTAAAACTTTCCCTCTTGATTTCCAAAATGCTAAATCTGTATATATTATATTTATGTCATTCGATGAATTTTATATAAAAATATGTTTAAAAAATTAGTTTAAAAAATATTGTATCTATGTAGGATTAGCTATTAATAATATTGATAAATGAGTTGTACTAAAATACTATAAGAGGCAAGAAAGCAATCTTATAAATTAAAATTTTATTTTGGAATTAGGAGACTACTTGAAAAATAAAAGCTAGATACTGAACTAGTTATTAGTTAATACTGCATTTAAGGCCTACAGATAAATTGAGATAAAATTTTTGTCCTTCTCATACTTCAACTTACCACATTGTTGGTGTTTAATACCTAAAGCCAGCACTAGTTGGCCTAGAAAAATTCTCTCTTGCTCTCTTAGCCCTGGCTTTTGTATAGAGAATGGATAATCAAGTCTAGGGGAGAGCTTTAAAAAAGCCTACATAATACTTCTTTTATCTAATATGTAAATTTTCCTGGCTATAGTTGATCATAAAGCAGATTTCAAAATAAAATAAAATTGCACAGTTGCATGACTTGGGAAGTCAAGCTGTGCATTTATAATTGAATTTAAATAAATTTATTGTTACAAGCTTTAATTTCATTTTCATCTGACATGAGGAACCTTTCTTTGCCTGGACGGCTTTGTCCCTTTTTAAAAATTGCCTAGATTTAAGCGGGCTAATAATTGGTACTAGAATATTTGTAGCTAATAAATTGTTTTCTTTCAGTTTTAGGTGGAGGTTTAAAAGGGATAAAATTAAAATATCAGGGGATGCCACTTAAAAAAAAATATAAAGAAAGCTTATGTATTTGCTTCACTAACTTTAAAAAGATAATCTGTTTTTAACTCAAATTGACTTGCTCATTAAAACATATACATTTCAGCACCAACTTCGTTTTACCCTTTTTAAGAACTTGATAATGCATATACACATATTAATCCTGTTTTAAAGGAAACAACATATAATAAAGTATTTTCCTAAAAAAATGTAACCAATTAGTATCATTTAGATTTAAAAGTCCATTTTATGCACATATTCTCTACAATCTTTAAAATGGTAGGTTTGAGATGTTTGACACTGTCACATATTGTTGCCAATTTCTTTTCCCAAGAAGCAGAATAGTTACAGATATTTCATTGGTTATAAAGCCACAACTTCAGTAAATTCATGAAGACGAGCAGAGGTATAAGTGAGTATTCAAATAGAGATACAAATTTATAAAATACCAAACCTATGATTTCTTAATGCCTTTAACATACTGGCCTATATTTATGTGTAAGAGATAAATACATAAATATAAAATCAGTTATTGTGCTTCATTTTTATGTAATATAATGAAAATATTAAGTAAATAATAATAAAACTTAAATCACAATAATTTTTAAAAATTTTTACTATGTGTTAATAAAAAAAAAATCTGAATAGAAACCTAATATGTGTGACATATATGAAACAAATGTTATCAAATTCCATTATAAATTGAAAGAAAGGAATAATTCTGTCATCCTTTTTGTATAATTCCATTGTTATAAGTAAATAACAATAATTAACTTAAATTAGGAGCTTTGAAAAGTCTATCGTCTTAAAACAAACTTTAAAAAATTTTAGAACACATTAAAATTAATTGATAAAATTCTTTAATTTATCTTAAAAGCATTAAAAATATTGTCTGTTTTGAAGAGGAGTAGCATTTAATAAAATTGTTGTTATTTAGGACCTATTAAATTAGATCTAGATGGATTATGGAATATTTATTGTTATCAAAACCTATCGGCACAAAAGTGAATCTTTGCAAACAATTTGTTGAAAAGCACTGCCTTAGACTAGAGAGAATTCTTGAAGTGCTTAAATAAACATTTAAAAAAAATTATTTTTAAATTTGGCTTGCAAAAATAGTAGGCTACATTTTGCAAAAGTTGAAGACAAGTAGCTTCATAGCCAGTACCAAAGTCCACAATTCAAAATTTTACAGTACATTTTGTACTGGTGCCTATGGCCTTATTAAAAAATTAGATAAATTGATAGGATACAAAATTCAAGTAGAACCAATAACAACCTGCACTCCATGCTTTTAGTTCCTGGTAACGTCTCATCAGGTCTCTCTGCAAATTTTTTACCTGAATACAAGGAGAAGCAAGCAAGGAAATTGTAGATGGAAGTATTTAGAAAACGAGTTTGAAACTTAGTTGTTTTTTTTAGATATTGGATAAACAACTCAAAAGAAAAAGTGGCACATGTGATCTGAAAAGGCCTTTGCACAAATTTGAAATAAGAAGATCTAAGGAGACCAGGGGATATCAAAGGGTTTTGATGCAGTTTATTTAATTTATTGACTACAATATTCAGAAAAGTAGAACAAGAAACTTCAACTATAAACATTTTGTTAGCCTCTGGTAGACATCAGAATGAAAAAGAATTGTCATTAAAATTCATCACTCTGAAATTGAATGGCAACAAAAAATAAGCTGAGCTGAATTTCTGTAATCTTCATAGAATTGAGATATCAAATTTAAAAAAAGATTGCAAGTTTTACATTTATTTCCATAATAAGATGATTTATTCATGATCATTATTGAAACAAAATTTAAAAAAAACTCTTGAAATACACAATACTAAAACATATATATATATTTTAAAAAAAACAACTTTATTGTGCTATAAATAACTTACCATTTCCAGTTCCCTTTTAGCAATCTCCATTTCATGTTGTGGAGTTCCCCGTGGCTGCTTTCTTCTCTCAACCATTCCAGCAGTGTGGTCTTTGATTCTTTTTTCTAATTCCCGAATCCTAGTTTGTCTGTTTATATGAAAATAAAATTCCACTTTCAAAAAATTTCAAAATATGTTCTTTTCTAAAAAAGATTTTTTTTAAATCCTAAAAAGTAATGACATTTTAATAGAATATACAATAAAAATTGAGAGATAATTTATTATGGGTACCTACTTCTCTAATTCAATACGTTGTCTTGTTGCAGGAGAAACTGATCTTTCTTGTTTCATTTTTTTCTCTTTCTGCAGGTCTGCCTTTAAATGTATAAATATTTAGATAAAATTAAATAATTAAAAATGAATAATCTTTATATTTGATGTATCCTTTCATTTTCTTTGTTTAACCATTAAAATGATTGTAAGTTTAGTAATGTAGGAAACCTATTGCAAGCGGTATCGATGGTGTTTGTAATGCAGTATTTCCCAATGTGGGGTGTAAGCCCCATTGGTAGTAATTCGAAGATTATAGGGGGGTGAGCCATTTAGTCTTTAAGTATCTCAAGTAGGAAATGTATCTTTGTTTAAAAATAAAAAAAAAGGGGGGGGGGAAGGCAATGTTAGGACATTTATTCTAGGTTAACCAAAGTTTTTGTTTCATCCTACAACATTGAATCTCGAGACCTAAACAAGCCACCTGATTGAAATTCAAGGATTCTGATGATGCATAGAGACCTTTTTTAAGCTCTTTAAGGGGTGCCCAGGTGGGGTTTTGGACTAAAATGGTTATTAAGTAAGTATTTGAAGTCTGCCACATCTTGCTGTAGATGGTAAACATATTGTTCACACAGATTCTCAAACATATTCTAGAACAAAGATTGCTGCTGATTGCTGCAAAAGGAAATGGTTTGCTTGTGTATTGCATAAACAGTTCTTAGAAGATCTTCACAGTTAAATATACTCTCCTGTTTGATTGATACCATTTTCTATTCATTTGAAATCCTCTTGCACATAGGACCTTCTCAAATCCTGAAGAAATGGGTCCTGGCAGCAATCTTGGGTGACGGTAAGTACTTAGCCTTCCTCATCCTCAATCTGTTTGTCATAGGCTTTTTGGTTAAATACGGCTCCTGCTGGAGAACTTGTGCATGAGCCTTATTTAATGAAACAGTTACTAGTCAACAATAATTCCTCTTCCTTTTACTCAGTATGTTACTAGAATGGCCAAATGTTGTAACAAAAGACATCATAGCAGTGTCGCTTGGTGCCATATTATTAAATCCCTCTGGTTTCTGTTCTGCTACATTTATTAAAACTCATAACCCCTTCATGATCACTTGCAGATGCGTGGATCTAATACTCAACTTTTAATACTTTTTCCTTCACGTATTTCCAACAATAAATACCCAACACAATTTCCTTCTCACTACTAGTATCATGTTAAAAATCACTTCTAAGATGCATAAGATTCAGTATTGTATATTTTGGTGCATACTGTTATAAGATAGAAAGTCAAGAATAAATATATGGCATACTTTTGTCTTCACAAGACAATGGAGTACCGTATGTTACCATGTATAGTGCAAGAAATTTAGGTATTGCCCATTTTAAAAGGGATATTAGCGTAGTTTTATCAGTATGACCACAGTACATTTTAAATATTATAATAATTTAAATGATTAATATTAAAAATAAACACTTATTTTCTTAATTCATATTTTATTATCATGGACAAGATTAACAGATTGCATTGTGCATGGACAAAGTATTTTGGGGCATTTTTAAAACAAAAAGTTGGGGGTTTGCATTATACGTGGATAGCGTTTTTCAGGGTAATATACAGCAGGTCACTGACACTTTTTCAAATTTCTTAAGATGTAGATCTTGGAATGGCAGTCTTGGCTGCACTTCTCGCAGCCTGAATCGCAGGAGTACCATGACCTCTGGTTTAATTTGGCCTTATGTAATGCTCTTTTTGTTGCATATGCTTCATTTTGCTCATCTCATCTTCTGCCTGTTTGACTCCCGTCTACAATGTTGTTTGCCAGCCACAATGGTGCTCAATGATGCGCTCCCATTTTATGTTGGCTTTCCTCATGTTACTTTTAAAAACATCAAAACACAGCTGCACCCTGTCAAGTCTTGACTCCTCTGCCAACTCTCTATACATCAGGTCCTGATGAATACGATCTTCCTCCATTCTCCTTATATGGCCTAATCAGTGAAGGTGCCTCTTACTAAGAGCAGAGAACCTGCTGCACATCCCAAAACTTCTGTGTTAGGCACTTTGTCCTGCTGTCAAATTCACAAAATGCACCAAAGCCATCTTTCTGCTTATAACTGACATATGTCGTCCACACTCAACTGCCATATAAGAGCATACTGACCACACAGAATTGTGTCACATCTGCTTTTCAACTTAGCTATAGATGCTGTTGCTTTTACAAATCTGATGTTTGCTTCGAGATATTGAACCCAAGGTATGTGAAGTTTTCAGTCACTGACAGGTTATGACCCTCAATAGCTATGCTTGGAAGGAAGGGACTGTGTTTCTTGCACCATGAAATTTTTTTTTCTGTAGACTGACAGTTTACAGGCATGGGAGAGATGATTTACTAACCGCTGCAGTCCCTCTTCCATATGTGATGTTAAGGTGGCATCTTCAGTGAAAAGCAATTCTGGAATTAACCCTTTTTTTTTATCTTGCTCTTTGCATGAAGAAGGGTAATATTTAAAAGCCTACTTCAGATCTGGTATGGATGTATACTCCATCTTCATAGTGCTTAAAGGCAAACTGAAGGAGCATTTAGAAGAAAAATAGGATGCAGCCTTGTTTTACTCTGCTGCTGACTGGTAATGCCTCAGTGACTGCACAAAGTGAGTCCTTACCTCTTAAGACTCAGTACATTTAAAATAAAGAATATGTTCTTCATGTCTTATATATACAAATTGGAAAGGAAATGGAAATTGTGAACATGTAAGCATGCATTTTGACATTTATGTAGCTAAACAGGTGTACAGTCAAAACTCAATTTTAGTAAAAATGATTTTAAAAAGCACCTTAAGTCTTTCTTCTTTTGTTAGAACCTGCATCATATCTTTATCTACATCAAATGGTGCCTGTTCAGCTATTTCTTTATAGTCTGCAACAGTCATAAAGTTAAACATTTTGTTATTAATTATTTCATTTAAGCAGTGGTAAAGCAAGCACTTTACACCATAAAAAAGTTAAAAAACCACAAATTTATTTCCTTTATTTCTGAAATTAGAGTTTTCATATGCTTGTTTTACTAACATTATTTATAAGTGTATAGTTTAGAAAACTTTATGAATTAATAAACAATTTAACAGTAAAAGAGTTTTTTGCTTTTAACAGTTTTTTCTGAAGTCTTGAGAAATATTGAGTGTCATCACATCAACTCAAAATGCTACTGAAGATTTTACTATAGTTCTTTGATACCATAAAATAATATCACAGAATTAAAATAGCATCATTTGGGTTCATTTAATGTGGCTGGGCAGGCCGCACCTTTACAAAATTGTGTCATGGACTTTGACCTTGGGGTTATGTACTACATGGCATGAAAGTTTTCACCCCAATCACTCATAATACATTTAGGAAACCGATTTTGGGATAAGTTTAATAATTTATTTCTCTGGAACCCTTGGGTATTATTTTATAAATTATATATTGTCGGAAAAGGGATTTTATTATCTTTACAATTGTATATTTGCAAGTCCACATCTTTTAGAGGGTATTAAAATAGTTTGTAATAAAGGGAGTTTTTACATTCATCCATGGGTAGTCCCAACCCCTTCTTTTTAAAATATCTATTTACTATTTAACTTGTACAAATTTTAAAGTGTGCCTTGGATTGCCGAGACATGGTGCGTACATATACATATATGTCTTTAGGGTGTTGGTTTGGGATTATAACTTTTATTTAGGTTGGAGTCGCTAGTAATTGTCAAATTCACCACAGGAAATCTACCAGAAGGCAAGTAGCAGACTGTCTTTGTCATTATGTGAAATACATCCTCTCAAGTCCATCCAAGTGGCTTTATTTATAATGGGCACACTAATAAGTTATTGGCTTTCAAAGTTGTAAACTCATCCTTAAGGTGTGGCATTGTTCACTGGTACCATTTTGGCCATTTTGTAAGTATAAGTATAATCAAATACGCCTTCATATGTCTGTGTTTGTAGAATGCAATTGTTAGGTGGTAATAGTGGAAGATTTCTGTTCAGACTTATAACCATGATATGGTGAATAAAGAACCCACAGCTGTCCAATTGACTTATAACCATGCTATTTTAAATGTTGAAAATACAACCATCCACTGAATTCTTAAATAGAATTAGATACCAGTGTGTTAGTGAGCATAACACCGTTATATCATTCTGGTTACACATACTGCTATGTGCTTATAAGTAAAAGCAATGGATACAACAGTATACAACCAGCAAATATATGTAAAATATGTATCGTAGGCTAACAGTCCTGCCATGTGCTTAAGTCTCACATAGGAATGATGCATGTGTTAGGATAATATTACCAGCTGTATTAATATATTAGACATTCCGCTATTTGTTTTGTCTTAAAAAGACACAGCGGTTGATTGATACAAGTATCAAACTAATGGTGGTTATACTTTATGCCATTGTAGTAACTGTCCTGCTATGTGTGCATCTTACATAGACACCATACATGGATGACAGTACCATAATAATTTCTAGACCTTTATGATGGCCCTCACATCTCACACTGGCTCTGAAAGTAGGATGGTCTACATGCTACGAGTTAGATCATGCCACATGATTTAGTTTATAATGGACATTATTACAATAATATAATTTTAATTGTCATTTGTATAACATGTGCATCATTAGGTTATATTGTCATAATCTGTAATTACTTAGTTATTTAGCATGTTTATTGTTAGCTGTGTAATTAAATGTTAGTCAGGACATTGTTAACCTGTACTGTTTGCGTCTTTTCAGGAAATGTTCTTTTTCTTTAGCCTTTCGACATTTTCTTTAAATTTTACTTCGGCAGTGTTATAGAACCAAATAAACCTATAGTCCTCAAGACCTGAATATATTGAGTGTATATTTTAAAACTATCCGCTGTCCTATCACCACCACATGGCTACAATAAGATTGCTTTATTATAAAACAGCATATTCCTAGGCTTTCACCAATAACTTTACCTTCACCAGGTACCAAATGCTGAGAGTATTTTTTCTGCTGAAGAGCTTTAGTGTCATCTCGCCAGTTTTTAAGCATGGCTTCATCCCTAAATAATACAAGTTAAAAAAGCCACTATTTTATTAATATAATATTTTAAATAAAGATTTAATATATTTAACATGAGTTTGCTTTGCTCCTTAGAGAGCCAACATTAAGAAAACACTGTTAACTTTAATAAATCAACTGCATTAAATTTGTTGAAATTGTGAGATATTTACTATATTTTTGCTGAATAAACATGACGTAACACTAAAAATAGATTAAAAGCTTATATTATGTTTTTATTATAGATTTTGAGCTGCACTTGTGAAAGAGAAAATAGCACATTATATCTCATTCTACATGAGCGAAATAGGATATTAAACAGCACTATTACAAAGCTGAAAGTTGATAGTAAGAATGGATACAGAAGTAGCTACTTAAATTAATATTGAAATTAATATTACCCACTTTCGCCGCTGGAGTATTGCATCAGTTTTTTCTCTAAACTCTTTCACCCTAGCCATCTGTTTTTCTTCATTCATTTTAAATTTGACATATTCTTGTGTTGGTGGTGTTGGGTAAGGGTTTACTTTCCATGACATCTTGTTCTCCTTAATTTTCTTTATTCTGTGTTATAAAATTATTAAACTTGTGTCAAATGGCCATTTGATAAAAATGAATAGCGCTTTGTCCATATTTTAAAATTACAGATAATAAATTATCAGTAAAAAGATGTGTAATATAATAAATTACAATTGCTTTTTTTCTGCTGGATGAGGGTTGACCTGTCACATGAGCCTTCGAGGTTTTTAAACTGTTTTACAGTTTGGAGAAGGATAACAGTTACCATTGATTGAGTGATGAGCAGGAAGCCCAGTCCACCAGTTTAAAAAAGATATTTTACTGCATCAAAATATCTATCTTTACACAAAATTAGTATTCAAATAATTAGAAATATTATAATTAGACTTTGAATGCAGAAGATTAAAAACGCAATAATACCACTAAGAACTCCTATAACTGAAAATAATATCAGCTGAACATTTTTTTTAAGTATAAAAAGATATTCAACAAAACTGTAGTGAAATAGTGAGTGATGCATAAAAAACGTTAAGGCAGCTTTGATTCTTTATTTTTATATATATATATATATATATATTTNTATATATATATATTGGACTTAATTTAAAATTAAAAAAATATTATCAATAACTCAAAATAAAACATAATTTTAAAAAGGCTTAGTGTTGCACAGTTTAATGAAGAAACAAATATTCACCAGCAGATAATTGCATAATCAAAGTTAAATATATATATATTAATGTTAAAATGGTTGGTACCGGTACACGAAATCTTTAGGCTTTTAAATTTAATATTCTCTCTCTTGAAATTCAAAAAATTAGGAAATAAGAAAATATAGGTCATGAAATATTTATAATTTCAAATTTGATTTAAAAATCAATAATTTTGAATTCCAGCTTTAAGCTTTACAATTTTTGAAAAAAAAAATGCCTTGAATCAGAACCATACATAAGGTAACATTTTTATCTGATGGCATCGGATCGTGTTCTAATATTGGCTGAAAGAGTTAAGATTGTGTCTTAAGATCAAATTTAAAAAAAACTCAGGTTATCAGATCAACTTCGGTATTAAAATTCCTAATACTATCAGTCTTTAAGTGCTTTTTTAAAAAATGTGACAATATCATGAGCAATATCAGAAGACACTCTGCGTCTATAAGGAGCTTGATTGATTCTGAGACAACTGGTTGCAGCCAGAATTTGTAGATCATCTTGGATAGCAAATGCAGTGCTGAGGTAGAATGTAAATTTGTTATTATTTAAAGTTTATCATCTTTCAATGATTAACTTTAAGAATATTGACATACTGCAAGCCTACATATCTCCAAAGATTTGATCAGTAAATTTACTAATATTTTCATTAGTGTGAGCAACATTGGAGTCACAAGATTTATTACAAAAATGTATACGAACACATATTCATAAGGTATGGTTCCATGATGCTTAAGTAATAACAAAATGTTATCTTATGAAAAGGAGCTAGGTTATGTGGTATTATTTAAAAAAAGAACTGTTGACAAGAAGTGCCACTTTAAGAAGTAGTTAGTTGATGACCTTATTTTTCTAGCAAAGACTTTGTACACACAATTTTTATAACATTACAGTGAGTTATTGATGACACTATTTTGGCTCCCAAAGATTAATGCAAATTATTGTAATTTTAAAAAAAAGAGTTGGATGAACATTCAAAGATGTTTTGTGATTTACAAGAAAGAAGTTATCTTGGGCAATCTGAGGGATTTATGTTACTTCTTTTTAATTTGTCCTTATTTTAAAGTATTATAATTGTTATAATAAATAATTTCTATGCTTAGTAGGCCTGCAATAAATTTTATTAATTAATTTTATTTTCTAAAAATACTTACTCTTCAAATGCCCCTAAATCTGCTACTTTCTTATTTTTTTTAATGCTTTGGACTTTATCTTGATGAATAAAGTTTGGCCTTAAACCTTGCTTGTCAGAGTAATCCACATTATCCTGTGACAAATCTTTTTCACCTCCTTTTGCCATTTCTCTCATTTTGGCAAGCTCCATCATACTAGCTGTAGTATTCCAGTCATCAGAACTGGCACTCACTTGTTCAAGAAGTTCTTCACCTTTGCTCAGTGATAAATCTGTTAAAATAGCTATATGAATTACTGGTAATGTAGTAATTGGTAATTTAATGAGTGCTGCATATTTAAAAAACTCATTAGATACAGCCAACACATGTATACAAATTAGTATTGATTTTAGAAACAATAACTGAAGAAAAACAAAATTATAACAGTCTTTTTACCCAGGTCTGCAATTTTGGCTGAATTTTTAGCATTTAATACATCTCTCAGGAACTGAAGTATTGCTTGAGTCCCTGTTTCCATAATCGACTGTGGAGGAAAATCTAGTGGGTTTCCGGCAATATTTAGTCCATGCAAACTCTTAACTAAACCTGCAGAAAAACATCATCTAAAATTTAAAGCTTCAAAAGTTTGAAAATATAATAATATATTTAAACATGACATATAATTTAATGAATAATAATATATTTCTTCTTTATTGAGATTTAAAAAGGAAAGTTACCTAACTCCAAAGGCAGGTTACGAAGGTTGTTGCCTTCTAGTAGAAGATTACGAAGACAGGTATGATTGGAAAGATATGCAGAAGGAATACGACTCAAAGCATTATTGCGCAGATCCAACCATAATAAGGATGGGAAACATTTAAAAAAATTGTCTGGTAAATATGCAATTTCATTTCCCTGGAGGTACAAATACTGAAATAAAAAGTAAAATAAATTTAAACTGTGATAACATTAATTTTTCAATGCAAACATCAATAAAGAATGAAAATGAACAGGAGCACTAAAAAGCAATAAATTATCTCTTAATTAAACTTACTTTAAAAAAAAAAATTTGTTTTAAATATATGAATATTTTACTGTACGTATGTAAGTTTGTTAGGCATAAGAAACATACATAGAATGCCCAGTGCCGGCCTTTGAGAGCTATTTGCTATAGGCAAGAACAAAAAATGCCATCCCTTAATTATAAATGTTTATAAGGCATCTATTTTTACTAGTTTTCAGTTTTCTAGGAAGGTAAATGCTCTATTAATTTTGAAGTATGAAATGGAATGGTGACAATGTGAAATTATTATTTTTATTTACAAGTACCGGTTAGTAGCTTAATTAAAACTTAAATTGGCAACTTTTTAAAATGAGTTCAGAATTCAGAATGAGTTTTTACATTCAATAGTTCAATTCAAGATTATCCTTGTTTTCTTGCTCTTGTAGAGTTCCTAAATTAAATAGGCAATGAAGCCAAAAATGCTGTAACCGCAAATTTATAAAAAAGTATTTTAAAGGTAGGCCTATCTATTAATTTACATTTTATTAGAAGAAAATATACTTTTCTTGCTTTAGCAGAAGCAAAATCCATAACTTTTTCTGTCATATCCCACACTTCTGAAATCGCTCTTTCTATGGTTATTGTCGCTAAACCAACCAAACGATCTTGATACATATGCAGAAAGAAAGATATATTTCTACGAGTTTGAACTTTGAAAAGCTTCTCTTAGCACTCACAACTGAAAATTATGAGTGTTTGCAAAACTCTTATTACCACCTACACATTTGGAAAAAGAGCAATTAAGCTCATTCAAAATAGATTTGCTAATATACCCCATGGGCTTGATTGTCCTGTTATTTTTCTTGATAAATTTAATAAATCATTACACAGAATTTTCATTTTCATATACTAAAGCTAATTAAATGTCCATGACTTCTTTGAAAAGTTCCTGCCTATTCATCAAATTTATATCTTTTTAATGTCCCACAAATATCCAAATGTCTCACAGGGAGAGATTGCTATAAAAATCTACCATTTACTGAATAAATTGTGGTATCCACAATCTGGTTAACAAATAAAACTCTGCTTTTCTTTTCTTTGTTAAGATTTAGATTATCTTAATCTTCAATTAAAATGTCAAAATGTTATTTTTTGCAAAATTTTTAGTTGTATTTTCTGGAAGAAATTGCACTCAAACATATATTGTTGTTTCCATAGTTTAACTGTTATAATTGCTTTAGCAAAGCCTTCATCCATTCTATAATTTTGGAGCATAGTTTTTTTTTCCATTCAATTTTCAATTGATCTTGTTCTTGAAATAGTTTATTAAACTTGTTGATCTCAAATAAAATATATGACCCAACCACAAAAGAATAAACAAAGTTGAAACCACAAATGAACAAACAAACTTGAGATCAAGAAATATGTATATCTCCCATATTTGTTCCATCATCATAACCTTGTCCGCTCATATCATCTAGACAAGTGCCTGAAAGTTTTCGAAGTAGAATTTCCAAACTTGCCTCTGTAGATTTTATAATTTCTATGAATCCAATGAAATGTTTCTTTATAGAAACTTGACATCATCATGGGTTGTCATTTGTTCAAATGTTGTGTAGAATTGAATGAGACTGTCAAACCTCTAATAAAGAATAATGCACCAGTTGACATAGAGTTCAATGGAGATACGTTCTTCAATATAACTTCTTTGCTAGAATCTAAGTTAATGATAGTTCTGACGCGATGACACTATACAACTTAATGTATTCTCTTTTGTCAAGAATTTTAAAATGGGGCTCTTCTGAAATGATATGAAATAGTTCTTAACATTCTTTTTCTTCCTATACTCTGCTCCAGATAAGCGTGTATGATTTCATCCTTTACCATGCTCGAAGTGGTGCAGAAAGGAGTTTCAAAAGTGGCGGGCCACCTGAGGTGGCACATTTTTTTCTTTAAATTAGTGAATTAATGGAAGCATTCATGCTCCACCTTGGAGTTTTTTCATGGTAGGGGTGGCAAAAATCTTGGCCGGACCGGTACAAACTAACTCTACAACAATATAGCTATGTCACTCTCTGCTCATGATTGGTAATAATCGTAAAACATTCATTCTTCTATAATACTAAAATTTTGGGAGAAAGGGGCATCTTTTATATAGATATATATATTTTTTTTTTCGTTTAATTTTTTCCCCCAGAATTTGCTACCCTAAAGCCGGCTCTCAGAGTGTCTGTAGATTTGGTCCTTTTGGGCTTGTCACTTGGATTAGCACTGATACTATACTGATGATAGTATTTTATTCAATTTTTGGATATTCTTTTCGGTGGAACTTGAAATAAAGTGTGTAAAAGTGTACCTATTTTAATGTGTGTAAAAGTGTATTCTATGAAACGGTTAATTGGGTTTTCATTAATTATTTATTTTACAATTATTTTTTATTGTTTTTTCTTCATTTTTTTTAGTTTTCTTGCGACAATGTGTCCGTGTGTAACTGCACATGTTTCTTACTTGAGGGTTAGTGCTAGTTTTAGGGTTAAGGTTAGATTTAGGGATACATTTAGGGTTCAGGTTAGGTTTAGTGATATAATTTGGGTTCAGATTAGGTTTAAGGATAGATTTAGGGTTCAGGTTAGGTTTGGGATATATTTAGGCGTTCAAATCAGGTTTAGGGATAGGGGCCATCCACTGGTAAAATTATCAATCGGCCGAATTGTTGAATTTTCGTTTTTTACAACAAAAAAAAGAAAAAAAATCAAATTTTTTTTTGGTACTAACTTTTCAAAAAATACTATTAATAATTAATTTCATTTTTTTCTGTTGAATTTTTTTTTCTTGTAAATTTACTTATTTTCTTATTCTCCTATCTTTGAAAATCTTTCCATAAGTAGTTGAAATTAATTTTTTTTCTTGGCGGCCATTGGAAAAAGCATGGCATCTCTTCTTTGCATTGACCCAATACAGTTTAAATTTTATTATTGAATAATTATTACAATTGATCAATGAGTGAATGAGTATGACAAAATTTAAAATGATGATTTGAAATTGAAATAAAAGATTACCTCTAAACATGTTAACTCCAGTAAATTATCTGGAATAGCTTGCAATTTTTTTCTGCTCAAATCAATTGTTGTTGATTGCATTGTTTTTGCTTTTTCTATACATTTTAGGATATCATCCTGCTCTTTTTTAGTTTTGACAAACAGAAAATCTGCAGGTGTTTCACATGCATCACGGTTGCTCATCATCAATTTGGAAATAACACCATCACATTCAATGGCATCTCTAACCTCATTAATGTCATCACTGTAAACATTATTATTATAACTATGACTCTCATTGATGCAATTGCTATTGGCTTCAGCATTCTTAACGCTGAAAACAGTCACCACATCCATAGACTCGTCAGCAAAATCTTGAAGTCGATGAGACCTAGGGCTTACACTTACGTTAGTCAATGGAGGCGAACTATTAATTTTATATTCTTCGTGTGAATCCATTTCAATAATGGCACTCCGAAAACTCAGTAGCTTTTAAAAATAAAATTGAATTATTATTTTTTGGACATGTCTCTTCCCAAACCTCATGGACGTGCAGCATGCTGTTCAAAATATCACTTCATCACAGTCCGCCATGATTAGAAGCAGTTATCACTAAGCAACAAGGATCACGTGATATATAAAAATCCCATGTGATAGGTCTAAATATATATTTTGTCTAGAAATTATCACGTGACAATTTGCGTTTAAAAAAAAAAATAAAAATAAAATCAATATGTCAACGCTTCTCATCTTGTCATCTCTACTCTGGAACGTTAGATGACCAACGAGCAGTTTTATTAGAATTTTGACTCCCTCACTAAATGGAAAAGATTGAAATTCCAATTTTAAGGTGGCTGAAAAATATATTTTGCATTCTTTTTGAATTTTTGATTGGTCAAAGTGGGACACACGATTGATTGAGAACTGTTGCGATTGGCTCAGTGCGCGTGCGGAGTGTTCTTATCTAGCGGTTGGCCACCAAATTTCCACTGTAGCAAGCAGAAACTGTAAACGTACAACGACGAAGGCGAGTAACATTTGAAGGATTACATAGCTCTTCTCGTAAATTTTTATAAATTTTAAAATGTTTCTTTTAATCATTCTTCTTATCAGTGCAAACACTCCAACTAATGTTTATTTTGATAGTTCTCGCATGTATATGCGTATGTTCTGAATTGTTCTGGAATAAAAATCACACCGGTACCATGTGTAGGGCTTAAATTGTGACTTATATTGTGTTCAACTTGTAAAACCTTCTGAAAATTTGAATGATTTCTTAATAAAGGGTTAAACAAATTATTCAAATGTCTCATCACGAAGAAACATAAAGATAAAATCTTATATGAAGTAATGTTGTATTTAGAAAAGATCTTGATGACTCTATTTATCTCATTTTATAAGCAATATTTTGTTATTGAACAGAACTAGGTCTAGTTTAAGTAAGCCACAGTTTTTTTTCCCCCTCTACGCTGAGGACAATAGTGAGAATAGTACCATAAAAACAAAGTGAGTCCTGAACTGTCTGGATAGGCTATATGGGCCTTATATTTCTATGTTAGATATGTCATATGAAACAATGTTGGGCTACCAATTGCAACCATTTGTCCATTAAAAAAAAAAAAAATCACCAGCAAAGAAGTGTCTTCAAAGAGTTAGACGATTCATTGTAACCCTCGTCTAGTATCGGATCACGTGTTCAAAGACATTTAAAAGGAAATTGCTGGATCAGATCTTACCCTTGATCACTCGGATTGTGCTTCCCGATTGTTGGATTCCACTTCATGTGCCGGTCAACGGATGGTGATCGCGTGGTCACCCCGTGACCCCAAGCAAACAGTCAAAATTGGTTGTACTATGGGATCAGGGCACTCATCCAAGAATGAGGCATTTGATGGAACGGGAAAAGGTCAGCACAATTCCTTTACATTATTTTTTATTTAACTGTTCGATGAGATACTCATCACATGGTCACTTAAATAATAATATATCAATGAAGCAGAAAACATGATATTCTCAGAGATTTTCTCTTTCTCGTAGATGTAGTTCATGTTTTCCTTACTGGTGTATTGTTGTTGATCGTCTTCAGAAGGAAAAGAAAATATTTAAAAAAATGGGTTGTTTTGTAAAATTGTGAATGATTAGGAATATGTGCTGTATGTTGGTATCAAATGATGCTGCAATATATTTATTCGTGCCATCTGCGGAAGGTAACTCCTGTGAGGAGAGAGAGAGAGAGAGAAAGAGAGAGAGAGATAAAGTATGTGTGTGTGAGAGAGAGAAAGAGAGGGCGAGGGCTATGCTTTTTAAAACACACCTTTAAGTTTTTTTTATTGTTATCACCTGCCCCCCCCCCCCCCCATTCCTGCATTCGCCACTGGATCTATCTAATTATGAGTTATTGTGTTTAGGGCTAAGCAATATCTTTTTTTCGGTTATTTGTGTTTTCTGAAATAGTATCTATTTGAAAATCTGTGACTTTCTTGTCCCTTAAAGTGACTCCCACCCCCACATTAAAATAAAAAAAAAAATATTGCCCCCACCCCCGATAAATTTAGACACAGACCCATTAGGTCCCTATTAAACTAATTCATTTGGATGTGATAAATCGCTTGAATAAAATATTGTCCGCTTATTATAATCTTAGAACAATTTCTTACAATACAGCATACTTATTCTCTGGCTATTTTGGATATCTCATAAAACTCAAGATCCCTACGATGAAAAAATTGTAAAAGGCTATTTTTGTTTAATGCAGAGACCCATACTGAACCATTAGTTGCACCCTGCTCACGCACGGCAATACTATGACGCTACAACAATGTTGTATGAAAAATGTCTGTTTAACGAAATGTTTGTAAAAAGTCTCCCCACTATTTATTTCTATTGGGATGATGTCTCCGTGTATCTCACGTTTAATGTATGAACTAATACTTAAGTTTAAGGCGTTTTTGAAGGAAATCATGCAAAAAAAACCACACTTTTTGCTTCATTTTGGGCGTGGTCAGATAAGTGTGCCAGATGGATTAAAACGCGTCGCGCCCCCCCCCCCCACAAGCACTTGTCAAGCGTTTAAGTTTTCGAAACACTGCTACAGACCTAGCCTAACTGACTTAGGCACGTTTCGTGGGCAATGAAACGCTTGATGCAATGTTAAGATGGATTAAAACGCGTCGCGCCCCCCCCCCCCCCACAAGCACTTGTCAAGCGTTTAAGTTTTCGAAACACTGCTACAGACCTAGCCTAACTGACTTAGGCACGTTTCGTGGGCAATGAAACGCTTGATGCAATGTTAATCTTAATAAAGATCCTTGATTTACGCAAGGAAAGTACTTAACCTCCAGATGAAACTAAGTCTTATTTAGCGGATAAAATAGAACAATTTTGAATGAGAACGAAATCTTTGAACGGACTTTCTCATGGAACACTCCCCCCACCCCCCCCCCCCCCCCCCCCCCCACACGCACACAACTAAAAAAAAACCAACACCACCTCAACAAATTAACACGTATACATTTATTTCATTGTTAAAAAAAAATTTTCCTTCATATTTTGGACAAAAAGAAAATCCACCCTCGACTGTCTGATAAGACAGTTATGACAGTGAACAGTGAACAGTGAACAGTGAACAGTGAACAGTGAACAGTGAACAGTGAACAGTGAACAGTGAACAGTGAACAGCTCAATCCAAACGATCATACACTAGATTTTGACTTTTAAGACTAGCTGTTTACTTTGTACGACAAGGTACGATCGACTCTTTTATTCATCCCATTAAACAGAAATTTTGTTTTGATAACGTTGTGTACATTCATTTTCAGCAGACGGATAGAGATTCTGTTTGAGATACAACTTTTAAAACTAGAACAATTATTGAAACGTAATGTAAGTACGGTCACAGGCGTATATGAACGGGGTGTGGAGGGGGCAGTCCACCCCTGGTGGCACTTTTTAACACTGTCTATGGAGGGCCGGCATTCTCGGCCAACTGCTGGGTTTTTTTTTCGTGGAAGGGGGCGTCAACAATCTTAGCCCACCCCGGGCGGCACTAATCCTAGCTACGCCTCTGAGAATTGTAACAAGTTTTAAGTACCGCATTTCTCAAACGCAAAAATCAGCCATCATATATAATTAAACCCCATTGCCTTAATGACATAATTGACTTTACGACTGATTATTTGATTTGATAACAGCCTTTGAAGCACGCTAGTAAATTATGACACAACAAGTGAATTTTTATATCTTTCAATCTTTACTTTGAGGGGAATACATCTTATTTCTTTACCAAGTTTATATTAACTTCACATGGGCAATATTTCTTTGCACATACATATGCTTTTATAATGCTAGCTTTGGTTTTTATAACTTAAGTATGTGGAGTGCTAAATCAAAATACACGTCGCATACAAAAGTATTGACAAGAAGGTTTGCGGACGATTTATCAACTATAAATAACTCTACTGTTTTGAGATTATTAACAAAGACTCGGACATCCATCTCTCTGCCGACGCTGCGTAAACGACAGTGTCCCTGCCAACGATCTTATATGTATACGTCTCAAATATTGAATATGATCATATTTCAATAAACAGTTTCTGTCGGAGTCCCCCGGACTCCTCTTTAGCTGGAGGGTATCCCCCTGAGTGTGTCCCGTTTTTCCAGTTCATGGTTTGGTCACCCTACTCTAGATACAAAGATCGTCCGCACATGCAGGGTGTTATTATTATTATTATTGGTGGTTTTATATAGCGCGGTACCCCAGCCCAAGGCTGGGCTCACAACAATTTAACAAACATAGTCATGAACTTAAAAAAAAATTAAAATACATTAATTAAAATAAAATAAAACAAATGTATATTCATTCCCTAAAACTCATAATTAAAAGTGTAAAAGATGGTTTAGTAGTCACGACATAGAAAGAGCTAAGACTTATTTTAAGAAATATTTGTCCGACGTTTTAAAAATAGTAACATTACGTAGTGCTCAATGACGTTTTCCGGTCTTAGAAATGACAAGCCATATTGCTATGACATAAATTCAAAGAGTGGCCCAAAACTGTCTACTACAACTAAAAACTAAAGCAGTAGCCATTCGATCATCAACGCAATGCGCCCAGTAAAAACAAAAACAACAAACAAACATCACAAGATTTATAATTAAATTCTACAAAGATTAATTCATTTGATGGAGGCCGTTTGTAAAAAAAAAAAACCAGAAAACAAATGTGGAAAAAAAAAAATCAAAAATCAACATACAGAGGCGTCGTCAGTGGGTTATCTCTCGTTAAAACTATGGGGGCTCTCTCACTGAGAAGGAACGCAAGTTAACTCTTCTGTTATAGTGCATTTTCAGCATTCTCCTACTTTGCACTTTTATTGTTTTTCATTCAGGCGCGTATCCAGCTATTGATTTAATTAGAAAATTATTTATTTGGCAAAAAGCAACTTATTTATTTAGCAGAGGGATAATCATTGCATTTAATTGCATTTTATCCACCCCCCCCCCCAAAAAAAAAAAAAAAAAAAAACAACCCCCCCCCCCCCCCAAAAAAAATAAAATAAAAAATAAAAATAAATAAAACAACACCATACATTTTCATCAAATATTTCAC